GGGACAGGCACATAGGTACCTGGGTCATCCCCCACCTCCACATGAGAGCCAGGGTCTCTGGAAGCCCAGAGGCGCTCCCTGACGTGACCATGACCACGAGTCCAGGACCGACCAGCAGCCCAACCTCCTCATCTTCCCAAAGATCTCCTGTGGCAAAAGCCCTTCGTGTGGAAGCAGTTTCTCTACTTGCTTGACCCCACGCATGAGGAAAGAGGCCAGGGGGCCTTGCTGACTTGCCCAAGGTCACACACAGGATGTTATTATTTCAGGTGAGGAAAATGGCTCCAAGAGGCCAAGTGGCCACCCCAGGATCACAGAGTAAGCGAGGAAGACACCCGCCTAGAGCCTGGGCTTTGGGTCCCGCGTGCTCCTTGCTTTTTATCATCCGTGCACTGATGTGACATTTCCGACACGCGGGGTCACCTTCTCTATTAAGCAGAGCAGTCAGGGCACGCAGAGCCCACAGAAATGTTTTCATTTTCATCCTTTTAACATCAGAAGAAAAATTCCATATAATAATAATATTTACGAATGAATCACACCTGGATGGTGGTCACCTTTCTACCTATGGGATCCTAACATACAAGTTTAAATACTTTTATTATGAAGGAAGGGGCCGCCAAGGCAAAAGTGCCCAGAGACAAAGAAAGCCATTAATCATGTAGCCCCCGCTGCCGGAGATGCGTAGTCAGCCACTGAGACCTTGTTCCAGGGACCGAAGCCATCGGCCTCCCACCCTGCCACTGTGGGAAGACTGGCCACATGAATGGCAGCTGTGCCGGAAAGAGCCCCGGAGGGCTGAAGTTGCTGAGTGAGTCCGGGGAGACAGCCGAGGGGCTGAGAGAGCAGGGAGACGGGTCTGCGTGTGATGACTGGCACCCATGATGAAGGTCAGGGCAGACAGAGGGGCATGGCACAAACACAGGAGACCCGAAGCAGTTCTTACCTCTTTCCTGCGGCTGCTGTAACAAGTCAGCACCAATTTTATGACTTATAAGCAACAGAAACATATTCTCCCACAGTTTGGAAGACCAGAAGTACAAAATCAAAAACCGCTGGACCGAAATCCAAGTGTCAGCAAAGCCAGGCTCCCTCCCGAGGCTCTAGGGGAGAATGGGGTCCTAGCCTCTCCCAGCTTCTGGGAACGGCCGGTATCCCTTGTCTCATGACAACACCGCTCCAGTCCCTGCTTCCGGGGTCATGCCACCCTCTCCTCTTCCCTGCCGCTCTGTTAAAGAACACTTGTAATTACATGTATAGCCACCTTAATAATGCAAGATATTCCCCTTATCTCAAAATCCTTCATGTAAGGGTGTCTGCAAAGACTCACCACTTTTGCTAACATGCAGTTTTGAGGGATTAGGACCTAATAACCTTGGGGCCATTATTCACCTTCTGCTGGCCCACGGAGGTGACATGGTCCAGGAGGGACCTCTGCCTCCACCAGGCAGAAGGCATGCCCTAGGAAAGGGTCCTTCTGCCAGGATCCTAGGAGAGTGAAACAGGCCTGCAGGGGAGATGGTGAGATATGGACACTCCAGTGAAACTGACAGGATTGGGGAGTTAAGCAGCCAGGTGAGAATGTGTCAAGAGAGGCCCCGGGAAGCTGACGCCCAGGAAGAGGGATCGTTTTGTCTGCAGTTAGCTTAGCACAGGGCTTCACTCTTCCTCACGCCCCTACCCTCCTTTGCCTTCCTGTCCTGTCGCAGTGGTTTTGTAATTTCTTGTCTCTTCCTCTTGGTGCTTTAAAAGTGAAACAAGCACAGTTACCCATAGAAGAACTTGCACAGGAAAAGACTCTTCCTGAGCAGTGCCCTTGCTACAGCGGTGAAGTGGGCCGGTGGCGGACACCCTCCGTTATCTACGTATCTATGTATCTATCTACACACTTGAGTGAGGGCGAATTAGAGGTAACCAGCCCTGCCTTCTCAGTACCAAAGGTAGCAAATTCCCTCCTTAAAGTGGAGAAAAACTTTGCTGTGAAGCTTGGGGGCGGTGGGGGCAGACCTGGAAGTGACGGAGACTCTGGCCACGTCTGAAATCCCAAAATCAACCCTAAAGCAGAAAAATCAGACTCAGATGTAAAGGGAAGCTCCATTTCTGCCTCTTTCTAGCTGTGACTAAGCAAATCACTTAAAACCTCTATGAACCAGTTTCCTGATCTATAAAATGGGTGCAGAAATGCCCGGCTAAAAGGACCATTACGCATGCGCCAGGCGTTCGGCAAGCCCTCAACGACCATAGGAGGGTCGGTCCACTAAGGGCTAACGACTCGCTCCCCCTCCAGGTGGGCTTGAGGCCAGGGGTCTTCTACTCCCCTTGCTCCCCACTTCCCCGGGCCATCCTCAGAGAGGCTGTCTCCCCCGTCACGATGCCTTTAAGGCCCTGGCACCCCGGCTGGCGGAGTCGGCTTGCGGAGCACTGGGACGCCGCGGCCAATAGGTCACCGGTGGGACGAGGCGCAGGAGGCAGTGCTGGGAGCGGGATCAGGTGTTTAGCCCCACCAGGCCCGGAGTCAAGTGCGCAGCCAGGCCCGGCCGAGCCCCCACAGGCGGGCTCCAGCAGCGTCCTCCAGCGGCCGCCTCCGCCCCCGCGCCTCCCACGCGCGGACTCCAGGCGAGGCAATCGGGGCCCCCCGGGCCCACGCGGCGGGCGGAGCGAACCGGAGCCTTTGTGTTCAAACCGCCCAATGGGCGGTGGCAGTGGGCGGTGACGCGGGCGGGGCGCGGCCAATGGGCCGCGGCCTGTCAGCGTTGATTGGCAGGCGCACACATACACACTCGGCCACGCGCGCGCCGGCCGGCCCCACTCGCGCAGCGCGGTTCTGCGCGGATCGCATTGTCTGCCGCGCCGTCCCGCCTGCTGGCCTCGTCCGGCGCCGCTGCTGCCCGCGCACCCCGGGCCTCTCACCGAGCACCGCTCGCGGGATTCCGACGCGGGTAGGGGGCGCGCCCGGGCGGCGCAGCGGGCCTCGCACGCCCCCGGCCCCGCACGGAGCAGCCGCGGCAGCAGGTAACCGCCGGCCGTGGGCCTCTGGCGGGTGGACGTGCGGAGCAAGGGCGCGGGGCCGGCCTCGCCCGCCTCCCCGCGGGCCCTGGGCTCCGGGCGCGCCGACTCCAGGGTCAGCGTCGGGCCGCTCCGGCCAGGGCCGAGCTGCCCAGGCCTGGTTCTTCCTCTCCGGGCCAAGCTGGGCCGGGCTCCAGCCCCGCCCGGCGCACGCCCCTGGGCCGGTGGGGAAGGGCCAGCGCCGCGCCGGGGCCAGCCGCCCTGACTCATCTCCGCAGCCCGCCCACTGGCCGGCGCGGAGGGCGGATGTCTCCAGGCGGGACTTCCCCGCGCAGGACCTCCCCGCGAGGAGGGGAGCGACAGCCGGGCCACCTCCGACCGGCCCAGGGCAGTGCCCGTGTTTTCGTGCCAGGCAGGCAGTTTCCAGGGACAGACAGTTCCCTGCCTCTGCCTGTCAGACTCTGGGAATAGGAGGAAGGCCCATTTTGTTCCGTTCTTAAAAAAAGAAACCAAACAAATAGGAGGTGGGAGTGTGACTTAGAGCAGAGCGGCAGAGAAGGCGCGTGGTTGGTTAAAAAAAAAAAAAAAAAATCAAATGCCTGTGGGTTCAGCCCGTAGGGAAAATGAAGGGAGAAGGGAGTTAGCACCTGAAGCGTTTTACAGGTCCCACGAGGGAAAGAAAGTAGTGTGAAAACCCCCCATGGAAGATGCCGGAGGTCTAGGTTAAGTCTGCAGACTGGCGGCATCCCGCAATCTAAGTTTGTGGCCGGGTGGGGGTGGTGGTGGGGGGGGAAGGTGCAGTTGAGAAAAGGATGTGGTTCAGCTTCGTGGTGGGGAGGGATGTTGTGTTCGAGGGTTTCTTAACTGGTGTGTTTGTGTTGGGGAGGGTGGGTTGTATGCCGATATGCAAAAGATTTGAGCTCCCTGAGGCTCTTGTTTTGGAGGATTCCGGCCTTGACCTTTCTCACCTTTGAAGCCCAGACTCAGTTGCAAACTGTTTGCCTGCTACCAGAACTGCGGGAAAGACAGGGAGGGTGGAGGAGGGTGCCGGCTGCTCTGTTTTCACTAGCCCCTTCTACCCGCCCTCCCCCCGCCTCCACCGCACTCGCTCTGTCTGAATATTTATATTCTTGCCAACAGCCGCTTGAGTTTGGCAGAGAAACATTGTTTTGTTTCTGTCCCAGGGCGAAGGCTTTATTCCCTTCAGCCTGCACGGTTAGGAGGAGGAGCCTATCTGGGCACGTGGAGCTTTCAGGTGGGATGGGCCCTCCAGGGGTGGAATTACCTTATAAGGAGTGGAATAAGGACAAGGACCCAGGCCAACTTCCTGCTTCTGCTACTACCCATCAGTATCTTTACCAACACCGGCTAAAAACCACAGAGGGATGCCAGGTGGGCATCCTACCTGGGAGGATGCCAGTAAGACCAAGACATGGAACTGCTTATTTTTTCAGAAGAGAACATTCTAGAATTCTCCAGCGGGACTAACCAGACCTTCTGGTTTCCACAGTCTTGAGTTGGGAAATGCTAGAGTCGGTGCCCTCTTTACGACATAGGGAACAGTTTAAGTATCACTCAGGAAGACTAGAAGGGATAATAAGTCACAGGTACTGGGGACTCTTGAGGGGGCCCCACGTATAACAAAAACTTTGGAACGTGGGCAGGCAAGGGCCACGTTGAGACTCTTCACGTTGGTCATCTGGGATTTTGAATTTGGGTTTTTTTTTGTTTTGTTTTGTTTTTTTTTAATCTCTGGAAGGCTTCTTAGTCCTCCTCTGGTTGTAGAGCGCTGCCTTTTGCCTGGTTTCCTCTCCTTGGCCTCCTCTCAGCCCTCCATATCCGTTTCAGAGGCCTGAGTTCTCACCCCACGCGCTGACTTGTTCCCTCCAGCAGAGACGACCTAATCCTATCCCTGTAGCTCTACCTCCCCGTTTTGTTTGTTAACAAGTACTTGTTGTGTGACAACTCTGTACAGCCTATTCTGAGCATATTTGAGGCTATTCAAGACTCTAGTTGGGGACACATGACACATTCTGAAAGCACCTTGAAAACTTTACGGTAGAGGGGAACGACCCAGGTCGTGCCACCTGTCATTCATAGGCTAGGTGACAGTGGGCAAGGTCACCGATCCCCCTCCCCCACCCTGGTGTCCCAGGGTGCTCTCTTGGACGATGGCAGTAACCGTGTCTCCCATGCTCACAAGGATCAGAGATGGCTGTGTAAGGAGCCAGGTACCTAGGAGGCCTTTAACGAAGTATTTTTGTCATCACCATCCCAGTCCTATCAGGATGTTGTCACTGGGGGGGATACAGCACACAGACCCCTTCAGGGACTTACTAGGAAAAAGTTTTCTCCAGTCCAAGTTGGAGTGGCACCCTGAATCAGAGAGTACAGCCACAAGAAAAAGTGTGTCCCCTCCAAGAGAAAGCACTGGAATGAGCGCGCACACAGCTCTAGCGGGGAGGGCAGCATCGTGGGCTGGTTGAGGGAGCAGGGATCAGAGGCATTCGGTTAGCATTGGGGTGGGGTGCCTGTCGCGTGCTGGGTGCTCTACTATGGACCAAAGATAGTGGAAGGTCTGCTTCTGCCTCACGCGCAGCTCAGCATCCAGTATGCTGAAAACAGGAGAAGCTTGTAGAAAGCACCAGGAGAGGCCTCCCAGGGCCTGAGTGAGCCCGAGGCTGGGCAGGGACACCGGCAGGTTGGGTGCCGGCTGCCCCGTGTCCCCACCTGTCAGCCTGGGTCGAATGCACGGGGAGGGTGGCCTGGTCCCTGGGAGCCAGGTCCCCAGGGAGGAGCTGAGGACAACCCTCACGTGGCCTCCTTTCTCTCCCAAGAGTCTCTTCAGGAGGAGGGTTCCCAGCCTACCTTGCCATGTCCCGCCGAAGCCAGCGCCTCTCGCGCTACTCCCAGGGTGATGATGACGGCGGCAGCAGCAGTGGAGGAAGTTCGGTGATGGGAAGCCAGAGCACCCTGTTTAAAGACAGTCCTCTCAGGTAAGGGATTGCCGTCGCCCTCCCCTGCCCCCACCGTGGATCACGCTGAGGGGAGCAGAGGACTCGGGCAGGTCACTGCGCTACGTCTTCCCGTTGTCACCTCAGTGGGCAGGGATCAGCCCTCTTCCAGTTGAGCAGGAACCTTCACACCTTTGGGATCCCAGGACCTAGCCCCGCTGTTCCTTGTTCCTTCTCCCTCTGTTGTAAGCCCAGCCATGGCCCTCATGTTCAGAGGACAGGATGTGGGGAGAGGCAGCTTCAGGATTAGAAACCCCAAAAGGCCAGAAACCCCAAAAGCGCAAGTGGGGTTCACAGGAGCCCCTTTTGTTATGGACGGGTGTGCCCTTCTGGCCCTTGTCCCCAGGCCTCCGTGTATGGTCTGTAGGGCTGCAGCAGGAGAGGCCCACGTCGGAGGGGCACGGTGAATGAGGTGAACCAGGCGCCTGCCCCGTCCTGCCCTGCTGACAGATAGTGGGACCACATAGCAGCTCTCAAGGCTTCCGCTAGTCCCGGGAGGCCCCGTCTGGTTGGTCTGGTTTCCAGGGGGTGGGAGAAATCACTACTGCTGTAAGAAGCCCAAGAGGAAACTGGCTTTGAGGTTAGGGACCTGGCTTTGAATCCTGACCCCATCACCTAACTGCTGGTGAGGCTGAGAGACGGTAGGAGGTGGGAGCCGAGGAAGCACCTGTGGTCGGCACCTTGCTGGGAAGCTGTTTCCTAGCAACGGGGCTGACCCGCTCTGCCCACGAGAGGCTGCCAGAGCGGCTTGGCTTTCCTGTTCCTCACTGGGCTCTCACCTGCCTGTTTCTGGCCTCCCCGCTGCTGTTCCTGGCTGACCCCCCACAGGACCCTGAAGAGGAAATCCAGCAACATGAAGCGCCTGTCCCCAGCGCCCCAGCTGGGCCCCTCCTCTGACGACCACACCTCCTACTACAGTGAGTCGGTGGTCAGGGAGTCCTACTTCGGCAGCCCCCGGGCCACCTCCCTGGCCAGGAGCTCCATCCTCGACGACCACCTGCACAGTGAGCCCTACTGGGGTGAGGATCTGAGGCCTTTCTCCTCGGGCTTTGCTTCTGGTGGAAACGTAAGGTCCCAAGTGTTCTCTGAGTGGGTTCCTCACGACTGCTGGGCCAGAGGAGGGGCTCGCTGTCTTCAGAAACCCTCAGAAGGGGAGCCGAGTGTCTGAACTCGCAGGCCACGTCAGGCAGCAAAGCCCTCATGGGGCTGCTCCCGGCCAGAGACCCTCCTGTGGACCCAGGGAGCTCAGGAGAAGCAAAGGGCAGTGCCGTCTGTCCGTCGGAGGTGCTTCTCGGGGTGTCCCCACGAGGCCTTCTGGTACAGCCTCCTGGGCGCAGCTCTCGGCCCCTGGAGAACCCCTCGCTCTTTCCTGCACAGGTGAGGACCTGCGGGTGCGCAGGAGGAGAGGTACAGAGAGCAGCAAACTTAATGGGCTTGCTGAGAACAGGAGCTCCGAGGACTTCCTGGGGTCCTCCTCCGGCTACTCTTCCGAGGATGACTTTGCAGGTAGGCCAACGCCTGGGGCGGGGGCCGGGGGGAGGTGATGGGGGAGGCCCAGGGAAGGGGCCCCCTGACAGCCCGAGAGAGTGCGGTATCTGGCAGACCTCTCCACGGACCAGCCGGGCATCCCCCGGTGCCACCATGGCTCCCGAAACGCAGGCCTGGGGTGGCCCTTAACACACCGTGGCTGCCCTGTCCCCACCTGTCGGAGCAGCCTGTGGTCAGCTCCATCGTGTTTGACTTGTTTCCAGCAAGTACTTCAAGTGGGGCTTCACGTCGAGGAGGGGCTCGACCCCTTTCGTCTAGCTGCGAACGGTGGTCTGAAGGACGGCTGGCGAGGAGAGGGATGCAGACGAGAGGCCCAAGGGAAATAAAATGTCAGAAACCTACCCCTTCGCTCCTTTAACGGGAGTTTACTGACCTAGATGCCAGGCCCGTGTGATGCTCCCGGGATGCAGAGGAGAGTGATGGGGGGCTCAGCTCACAGTCTAAAGGAGACAGCTGATAGGCAGTCTCCCCGTCCTGGGCCTGTGAGAGTGAGGACAGACTGAGCTGTGGCCTCTCTGTCCCGGCAGGCTACTCGGAGACCGGCCACCATAGTTCGGGTTCACGGTTAAGGAACACAGTCTCCTGGGCAGCCTCTTGTCTCTGGACGCTTGTCACTTCTCCAGGTGGGTGCTGGCTGCTCTGTGCACCATTATTTCCATTCTCTACAGCTGCCCCTCCCCCCAGCTTCTCCCTGGGATGGGGTAGCCCATCGAGAGACCGTCAGGCCATCAGGAAAAGCTCATTCTAGAATAATCACTGGAGACCAGGAGCTGCAGTAACACTCTGGCCTTCTCAGGGTGGAAGCAGCTGTGGAGCTGGGTGGAGGGCGTTGGCAGACTAGGCAGGTGGGATCAGAGGAACGGGGTCACCTTGGACAGGACAGAGGTGCTCCGGCAGCTCAGTGCTGGGGGCCGGGGCGGAGAGGGCGGCAGGTAGACAGAGCAGTGATCTGAAACCATGACCTGCAGGCCACTGGGTCAGGGTGACACTTAGGACTTGCCGGTCCCCCTTCTAGGCCGGCTCTTTGCCCTCCTCTACTGGTGGGTTGGCACGACCTGGTACCGCCTGACCACAGCTGCCTCCCTTCTTGATGTCTTCGTTTTGACCAGGTGAGCGCGACCCCCACTTTGACAAGGAACCCAGAAGCCCAGGGACAGAAGGGACCAAGAAAGCTCGTAAACCCACGTATGCTCTCTCTGAAGGTGGTCGTCCCAGTTCACACGTAGCTTTTATCACTGAGCAGGGAGCGGACCCCCCAGAGCAGCCCCTCTTTGCCCGACAGATGAGGGGCCTGGGTCAGGTGTTGTTTTCCAAACCAAGAGCTCTTCAGGGAGGATTCTGGAACTACAGGTTCCAGTTCCTTAGATTGTCTTTGCTAAATGCCAGCCCCCTCTGGCCACTTAAGCGAGTGCTGAGCATGGCTTTTCTCCTGTCAGGCAGGTTTTAGGCTCCAGCCAACAAGTGGTGTGGCCAAGAAAGATGGGCTTTCCTCGGCCTCATGGCAGTCTAGAACCCAGTGTTCTCTGAGGTGTGTTTCCTAAGCCAGGAGTAGGTGCTGTGTGAGGGGGCTATGGGTTTATTTCCCAAATCCTGGACCCAGCAGAGCCAGGAAAGACCGAGCCGGGAAGTCAGGGTCCTCTGGCCGTAATCCTGGCTGGATGGCTGGCCAGCTGGGCTGAGCAGAGGGGCCGGGGTGGATCTGTGTCACCAAAAGAAGGTTCCTCATTTTCTAAAAGAATGTTGTTTAAGGAGTTCTGTTGGTTTTTTTCCCCCTAGAATTGCTTGCTTTGAGGATCTCTCTATATGAAAAGGTTTTTCAGAGACCCCACTTTGTTTTTAAATAACATCCATAAAATTCAGAGTGTCAGAATTCTCCCCATTATTCCAAGAAAGTAAAGTTCTAAAGTGTCCAATCCAGCCCAGGGAAAATGGGGCACTTCAGGGCACCCCGTCCAGCTCTGGTTTTGCGCTCGGGAAAAGCCTCTGCAGACTCCCCGTGAGGATGAAGGGGCCCGAATGCCCTTTTGACACCTCTGCGCCCCCTCTCCCCACCCCGCTGTCCCCTCCCGTGGTCTAGGCGCTTCTCATCTGCGAAGACATTCCTGTGGTTCCTCTTGCTGCTGCTGCTCATGACTGGCCTGACCTACGGTGAGCTCGCGGGGTTGCAGGGGCGGGGTAGGATGAGCGTGCCAGGCTGAAATGGAGCTGGTGAGCCAGAGGGGCAGGGCAGGGTGTGGGTGGGGGGCGGCGCTGAGCGGAGGTGTGAGAACCAAAGGGACGGTGATGACCTACAGGAAAGGGAAGGAGTCAGGATGAGTGGGATCAGACGGAGCCTGTGCAGCACCCAGTCCCTTGGCCAATCCTGTCTGGCTCTCCCAGGTCCTCACTGACCCATGCGACATGCGCAGGGCACCCAGTGGGTGAAAGGGGATATGCCCCAGTCCACTGATTTTTGTCCTGTTTGGGTGGCTGCTCTGGACTGCCTTGGCATGTCTAGAGCATTCTTGGAGCCACGTGGCTCGGGACCTGCCCTGGTACCAGAGCACTGTTCCTAGTAGTCATTTTCCCTTCATTCAAAAGCAGGACATCGTCTGGGTGAGTGAATTCTTGTTACCACATCTGGTTCAATCTTTAGCTGTCTTTGAGATCAAAACGGTAAAGTAGTAAAGAGAAGTTCGTCCTTTTATACTAAGATAGCTCATTTACAAGACGCTTGACATTGTTCCAGTCTGTCCTAGGATGATGTCGTATGTTTTATGTGGTTGTAACCATTGTGTGTATGTATTGTGTGTTCAGCTTGTAATGAATGGAGCAGCGCCACCAGGGGCTCACAGCTCCACAGGAGCTGCCTCTATGGCCTCCGGGCTGTTTTAACGATTGTGCCCATCTGCAATTAATTGATAGAGACCATGCTTTATTCTAGTTTTAGAGTTGATTTTTTTAAAGTTTTTATTTATTAGATACAGAGAGAGAGATCATAAGTAGGCAGAGAGGCAGGCAGAGAGAGGGGGAAGCAGGTCTCCTGCTGAGCAGAGAGCCTGATGCAGGGCTCGATCCTGGGACCTTGGGATCATGACCGAGGCGGAAGGCAAAGGCTTAACCCACTGAGCCACCCAGGTGCCCCAAGAGTTGATTTTTTTTTTTTTTTTTTTTTTTAGCTTTTGCTTATTTATTTGAGAGAGAGAGAGCAACAGAGATGCGAGAGAGAGCACGAGTGGGGAGGAGAGAGAGATGCAGGGCTCGATCCCAGGACCCCGGGATCATGACCTGAGCCGAAGGCAGAGGCTTAGCTGACTGAGCCACCCGGGCACGCCTAGGGTTGGTTTTATAGGGTTAGCGTTGCCTCAACTTGTATTTATTGAATAGCGAGGTATAAAATTTTTCCAAGTGTTGATTTCCTTCTTGTTTCCTGTTACAAGAACAGCTTGTTCATGTCCAGTGGAAACTGGGCATCACCCGTAAAATAATGATCTTTTACAACTGGATTGTGCTTTGTTCACGGGTTACCTCCGCTCAGTTTCACTGGGGCCTCTTGGGGTTGATGGAGCTGCTGTCCCAGTGGCGTCATGGAGGCGCGTGGACAGTGTGAAAGGCAGGTGGGGTGGCCTGCGCAGGGAGGGGAGTGCAGGAAGTGAGGCATGTCCAGAGGGATTGACTGAAAGCCTGGTGGGCGTGTGCTTCCTGCCATGCTTGCTCCCAGCCCCCGGCTGAGTGGCAGCTGTGGTCCTACTCAGATGGACACCCATATGTCTTTTCAGGTGCCCTCACCACTGCCACCGACACAGACACTCGTGTGCAAGCTCAGGAGCAAATGCTCCACAAGCACATGACCCCTAAAGCAACATGCACGTGTCACTGTGGCTGTGGCCGTCTTAGGTTGAAAGCACCTTCTCTTAGCAGGTGTCTTGTTTTAGTGATTCTCAGTCACAGTCCCCATGGGAGTTCCCTGGGGAGCTTGTTTTTTGTTTGTTTTTATAACTAGGATCCCTGCCCCGGCAAGGAGCCCAGTGCTGGACTTGAACTTATAACCCTGAGATCAAGAGTCAGACACTTAACCAACGGAGCCATCTAGGTGCCCTTTTAAGCTTTTAAAGACTTTTGAAGACTTAAAGAGCTTTTAAGACTCACCTACAGGGGCCGAATGCTGGCTCAGTTGATTGGGCATTCAGCTCTTGATTTCAGCTTAGGCCATGATCCCGGGCTCATGGGATGAAGCCACGTATCAGGCTGTGAGCCTCCACAGAGTCTGCTTCTCCCACTCCCAACTCCCTTGCTCTCTCTCCAAAGTAAATAAGTAAAATCTTTTAAAAAACGAAAACACTTCACCTATAGAGGGAGCCCCCAGACCAATGAGTTCATGCTCTAGAAAGTGGGGCCAGATATTTTGTATTTTTTTAATTTTTTTAAAGATTTTATGTATTTATTTGACAAACAGAGATCACAAGTAGGCAAAGAGGCAGACAGAGAGAGAGGGGGAAGCAGGCTCCCCGCCAAGCAGAGAGCCCGATGCGGGGCTGGATCCCAGGTCCGTGAGATCATGACCTGAGTCGAAGGCAGAGGCTTAACCCACTGAGCCACCCAGGCGCCCCGACGTTTTGTATTTTAAAAGCTTCCTGGGTGATTCTGATGGCAGTTGAGGGTGGCCCCTGGTTCTGTCTGGGATCATTCCTAGCTCATTACAGCCACATTCTCCGAGTTTTGCTATTCAGAGAAAGATGAGGCCTCCCACGGGATGTGAGACTGCACATACTCTGGGACAGTCTGGTGGAAGCCTCCATCTGAGAATGACGGGAACCTCCATCCCGCATCCTGATTTCCAGCAGAAAGCCAGGGCACAGGAACGACAGGCTACCAGGAACCTGATTGACTGGGCCGCCGTCTCCAACAGCTTGTGCCTTCTTGCACACAGCCACTGGCCCGGATAACCCCCTCTCCTCTGTGTATAGGTGCTTGGTATTTCTACCCCTACGGGCTGCAGACCTTCCACCCTGCTCTGGTTTCCTGGTGGGCAGCGAAGAGCAGCGGCAGGCAGCAGGACGTGTGGGAGCCCAGAGACTCCTCCCACTTCCAGGTGAGGATCTGGGGGTCCCGGGTCCTCGCTCCGCCTGTGTGTGTGGCTGATTTCCCTGACCTTAACACTTTATGGGGCTCTGAGAAGGGGCACGGTCCGCATGGGTAAACTACCTTGTTTCCCAGGACACCCCTCTCTCCACTGTTTGGGGTGCAGTACGGGGGGAGCCGTTTGCTTGTGCTTAAACAGGACTTCAAACTGCCCCGAAGGTAGTTGCCATCTTAAGCACCGAAAACCGAAGGGAAAAAAATGGGACAAATCGTTTTGTCTACTTTTGTTCCTTTACAGTATAATTTCATAAATATTTACTAAGCATCCTTTATGAATAAGGTGATCACGTTGGTCAGTAACCACAAGTAAATCACCCCTAAAATCAGTGCCTTAAAACTACAAGCATTTGATTAGCTCCTGAGTCTGTGGCTCCTCTGGGTGGTTTCTCTGGTCTGAGCAAGGACAAGCTGGTCGAGGCTGGGCTCCCTGCCGGGTCTGCAGCTGGCCCATGCGTCAGTGGGGCGGCCTGTGCCCCACACGTGCTTCCTCCTTTAGCTCGCCTGAGCTTGTTCTCACTGTGGTTCCAGGAGAGCAAAATCGGGCCTAGATTCAGAACTGTCCCTTCCGCCACATTCAAGGCCGAAGGCCATCTCACAGCCAGTCTACATTCCAAGAGGGGAACAGAGACCCGACCTCTTGGGAGCGCCTGCAAGGCCACACTGCGGAGGGTGCGGATACAGAGAGGAGGGTAGCCCGGGGCCAGTTCTGCAGCCCAGGCTGTGTCCTCAAGGAGGCTGCGGTCCAGTGGGGGTGTGTGTGTGTGTGTGTGTGTGACAAGTGCCCAGATAACCAGAATGTGTGCATGTGACAAGGAAAACTTAAAATTCTTTAGTCCCTAAATCTATTTGAATTTTGCTTGTATCTTGCCGAAGCTGATTGGGTAACCATTTATTTTGGTAGATACTACTTTCCTGACCATCATGTTATCATTTCATAAAACAATGACCTATTTGGCATTAATAACTTTCCCTTTTGTAATCATTAGTAAAGATGTTAAATACAATTTCAGGACCAGCTTTTCTGTGAAAAGGAGGAGGAGATCTTTGTGCTTGCTTGTATGTGCAGAGACAGGACTGAAAATCGTTGCTTTGTTTGGGAGTGGATGGTGGCTGAGGGCACCAGGCGGATAGGGACACAGGTTAAGAGAGTGACCTCTTACTGTTTGCTTTTTGAGTCCTGCACATGTACGGCCTACTTAAAAATTTTTAAAAATCAGAAGCAACTTCTGCGCTCAGGAGGCTCCTGTCTTTAACTGACAGTTGACAGATTATATCTTCCCTTGACAAAGCTTTTTGTTTTTAAGCCAGCAAGTTTCTCAGAATTCATGGCATGCTATCAGGAGCAATCCCCAAGTCCAAATGACTTCTATTCTGTTTCCTTTGTGGGCCTTAATTAAAGAGAAGAAAGAAAGCCTTTTCAAATTATTTTGTCTTTTGGCCCCGGTTTTCTTGGACAGACTTAGTGGGAGCTGCTGAAGTCAGCAGCTGAACCCCTTGGCCCCTCACTTTCTGGCATGTGCATCCATGCAGCAGAGGGAAGGGGGCTGGGGTCAGCCCGGCAGGCCACCCAGCCCCTTGCAGGTCCCTCCTCGCTATGTCCCCACTCACCTGGCCGATACCCACTCCTCCTTGGGGACCAGACCCTTCTGGGCCACGTGTCCAGTGTTCCTGTGCTGAACGGTCACCACATGTCAGCAGCTTTATGGTACCCCGGCTGCCTGCTGGTGTCCCCCACCTTCTCCCCCAACTGCAGGGCACAGAGCATCCTTGAGCCAGTCCTCTGAGCCAGCGTGGGTTCACATTTGCATGTAGCTGGGATTCTCTTCCCTTTCCGTTGGGGAAGCTCTGTCGTCCCAGGTCCCTCACCTCCATGGCTTTCCCTCCCCACCCCACCAGGCTGAGCAGCGCATCTTGTCCCGGGTCCACTCTCTGGAGCGGCGCTTGGAAGCTCTGGCCGCAGAATTTTCCTCCAACTGGCAGAAGGAGGCCGTGCGGCTGGAGCGGCTGGAGCTGCGGCAGGGAGCCGCCGGCGGCGGGGGGCACGTGGGCCTGAGCCAGGAGGACACGCTGGCGCTTCTGGAGGGGCTGGTGAGCCGCCGTGAGGCTGCCCTGAAGGAGGACTTCCGCAGGGACACCGCTGCTCGGATCCAGGTCTCTGAGCGGGAGCGGGGAGGCGTGTGGCTGGCACCGTGAGGGTGTGAGGTAGAGGGGCGAGGCCCTGTGCACCCTGACACGACAGACAGCACTGTCACCTGACAGCTGACTTCTCTAAGCCTTAGTTCCCTGTAAAATGGAGGCGCTCCGGGAGCGTGAGACTGTAGGGTGCCGGGCACAGGAGGTGTGCGGTAGACATCGAGGGAGACGCACGGGTTAAGGGGCACCGGAGCAGAGGGGCTGGGAGCTGAAGTTCGTAGACGGGCCTGGTTCAAGTTCTAGTCCCACCACGTCCTGGTTGTGAAGTTCCCTCCGCCTGTATCTCCGGGAGTCCTGAGCTGCTCTCCTCTCTCTGACAGGAGGAACTGGTCACCCTGAGAGCAGAGCATCACCAAGACTCCGAAGACCTTTTTAAGAAAATTGTCCAGGCCTCCCAGGTCGGTGGGGCCCTTATCCTGTTCAATGTCTGCCCGTGGCCTGAGACCGCATGGCTCTCCCGAAGGGGCTGCTTAGACACCAGTCGGGGTGGGGGTGCGGTCCCCTGACTTCTGCAGGGGCCGAGCCCACGGGCCCCAGAATGCTTTGCAGGGACATGCTGGGGCACACTTGAGGAAGGGTGGCCTTCAGGAGGCCTGCTGTGCTGGGTATAACGTGCCAAGTGAACGAGTGAGTGAGTGAATGAATGCCGAGGTGTGCCAGCTCGGGGGTTCTCCTAGGGACCCTGACCAGGCGGTTTAGGTTTGCAGGGGTGGGGCTGCGGGGAAACAGAGACTCCGAAGACAGCAGAGCCTGCTCTGGGAGACCGGTCGCTGTGAGCTTGGCATTTGCTGTATCTGTGCCTTCTTCCTGCTTACAGGAGTCTGAGGCTCAACTCCAGCAGCTGAAGTCTGAGTGGCAAAGGTAATGGGCGCTGCCGTCTGGCTTAGGCCTGCCCCTCCCCTCCCCGCACCCAGGCAGGCCTAGGGAAGAGCGCCCCAGAGCAGAGAGGGGGTGGCTGAAACCTGGCTCAGGAACAGCGGCCGAGAGCCTGGCCTTGGGTGCGAGAGAGGTTGGGTAGGGGAGGCACCGCAAGAAAAGTGGGATTTGTGGGCTCATGTGGAGACCTACCGTTTTTTTCTGCACACACGCGCAGGCTGCCTTCCCGAGCCCCAGACATCCCGACGTGTGGAGGGTGGGAGAGGCTGAGGCAGACTGACTGAGGACCTGGGCTTAGAAAGGGAACAGGATAAGAATTCATTCCTTGGAATCGTAGGCACCGGGGCTGTGCTCTACAGCCGGGGTCCGCAGTGTTGGGCCTCGCACGCGCCTGCGGGAGATGGCCACACACTTCTGTCGGGAGCCGGTGAGGGGATCCTCTTGTGTTCCTCGTCACGGCCTCACCCCTCACCGGAGACCCAAGGCTTACTTCTCTCTCCTCTCTTTGGGAGTAGGATGACCCAAGAGGCCTTCCAAGAGAACTCCGTGAAGGAGCTGGGGCGGCTGGAGGGCCAGCTGGCAGCCCTGCGGCAGGAGCTGGCGGCCCTGAGCCTGAAGCAGAGCTCGGTGGCAGACCAAGTGGGCCTCCTGCCCCAGCAGCTGCAGGCCGTGAGGGATGACGTAAGTTGGAACCACGCAAGGGCCCTGCTGAACAGCCTGTCCTCTGAGGGCATCAGTCCTAGGAGCCCGTGTGGCCAAGAGCCCGATCGTCCCGCCGGCCCCTGCTGGGGACCTGGCACAGATGCGGGCTTGCTTTGACAGGAGTTCTTCCTGTTTTGTTTTCAGTAACGTGGACGGTTGTGCCTGACTCTTCCCCCCCACCGCGCGTCGGTCAGCGGGGCGTGCTGGGCCAGCCCTCCCCTCCCAGGCTGGCTTGTGCTCCTTCCCTACCCGCTCCACTCAAGCTGGCTGCCGCCCTGGCCTGGGCCGCCAGAGCAACAATGTCCCTGTGAGCTCCTCAGAGACCTTTTCTTCCGTCCCTAGGTGGAGTCTCAGTTCCCTGCCTGGGTCAGTCAGTTCCTTCTCCGAGGTGGGGGAACCCGTGCGGGGCTCCTGCAGCGAGAGGAGATGCAAGCTCAGCTGCAGGAGCTGGAGACAAAGATCCTCGCCCACGTGGCCGAGATGCAGGGCAAGTCCGCGAGGGAGGCCGCCGCCAGCCTGGGGCTGACGCTGCAGAAGGAAGGCGTGATCGGGGTGACGGAGGAGGTGAGGACTGGGTGGCCCCCGGAACAGCCCCACCCCTGACACAGCGGTCTCTTCCCTGGGAGCCATAACCTGCACAGTCCCACACTGTCGGCTTTCTGGTATGTTCCAAAGCCTAAGGGACATGTGAGAGGCTCTCATGTGGGCTCTCGTGTAGGCTTTGGGACTGGTCGGTGGGGGGGACATCTAGGGAAGTGGCACATGTGGCTGGATGCCAGTGTGTGGTGCAGGCGGGGAGGGGCCCCAGGAGTGGGCGCTCAGGTGGACAAATCTGCAGCTCTCGGCAGCCGCCCTGGGGGCTCCCTTTAGCAGGTGCAGCGCATCGTAAACCAGGCCCTGAAGCGCTACAGCGAGGACCGCATCGGGATGGTGGACTACGCTCTGGAATCGGGAGGTGCGCGTGATTCCCCGCCCGCAGCAGAGCTGGGTCCCCGTGCTGGCAGGCCCTCTGGCATTGGCCCGGGCAGCCGTGGCGCTGGGGCTGGGGCTTGAGATCCGCACATTGTCACTCACAACAAAGGCTAGTGAAGAAGCTTGGAGAAGTCTGGGGGAAGAGAACACCGTTGTTGGCCAGGGAGAGGCTGATGCTTAGTTACTCTGTAGTGGGATAGACCTGAGCGACACAGCCGGGGCCCCGGGGCACGTGCCCGCCATCCTTAGAGAGCACCTGGCAGTAGCCGTCCCCACCTGGTGCCCTGGGCTGGCGAGATGTGCTGGTGTCTGGGTCTCCCACCCTCCCTTCGCTGCTGGAGTCCAGCTCCAGGTGCCCACACTGCCTTGCTTTCCTGTCTTAGGGGCGAGTGTCATCAGCACCCGGTGTTCTGAGACCTACGAGACCAAGACGGCCCTCCTCAGCCTCTTCGGCATCCCCCTGTGGTACCACTCCCAGTCCCCCCGAGTCATTCTCCAGGTAGGCGCCCAGAGAGGCAGCAGCAGGGGTCCCGAGCAGAGTCACCCGTGTAGCTGGAGGACTCCCATCTTGGATCACCACGAGCTGTGCTCAGCGTGGGCTGTCTTTGTCACTGGCCCTATGCTGACCCAGCTTCCTTCCCCTCCAGCCAGACGTGCACCCAGGCAACTGCTGGGCCTTCCAGGGGCCCCAGGGCTTTGCCGTGGTTCGCCTCTCTGCCCGCATCCGCCCCACTGCTGTCACCTTAGAGCATGTCCCCAAGTCGTTGTCGCCCAACAGCACCATCTCCAGTGCCCCCAAGGACTTCTCCATCTTTGTGAGTATCTTTTGGTGGGAGGTGGTGGGGGGCGGTGGGCGGAGAGGCTACAGGACCCTGTCAGGCTCTACCGAGGATAAAGCTGGGATCTGTTCTTTGGGAGGAAGGAAGCAGGTTTGGAAGAGAGAATAGCAGGGTGCGAAATGGTACCCCATTCCCAATTACCTTAGGCTGCACTGGAAGAAACCAGGTCCAGGGCTCAGGCCCCCTACAGCCCCACCAAGGCTGCTGCCTGATCTGCTGGTGTGGGAAGGGACCAGTATGGGAGCAGGAAGGGAGAGCATTCCTTCCTGGGGACCCAAGGCACTCGTCTAAGTGCAAGATTTTTCCTTCGTCCCTTGTTCTCTTTTTAGGGGTTTGATGAAGACCTACAGCACAAGGGGACACTTCTTGGCCAGTTCACCTATGACCAGGATGGGGAGCCCATTCAGACCTTCTACTTTCAGGTACAGGACTCTGCTGTGCAAACGGACGTGGCCTGTTCACTTTTCCACCCACTCAGCAGACCGTTTCCGAGCACTTAGCCTGGGCTTGGCACCAGGGGTTTGGGGCAAGAAAAAGTGCAGCCCCTGCCTCCTGAGAGCTCCAGGGAGGGAACAGGGACAGCTGTCCAAGGTGGCATGGGAGAAGTACCAGCTAGATGTCAGCACAGGGGAGGGGCCCAGCCCAGACAGGGAGCATGGAGAAGGCTGCCTGGAAAGGGCACTTAATCTGAGGGCAGCCCAGCCGGGCCTCAGTGCAGCAGGACTAGGGCGTTTAGGTGGGGCCTTGCCTCAACCTGAGCGGGCATCAGTCTCCCTGGCCCTCGTTAGAAATGCAGACTCCCAGTCTACACCCTAGGAGGTAGGCTGCCGGGCTCCAACGGTCCTAAGGAATCAGTGTTCTGTGTTGTTGTCTTGATGATTTTATTTGAGAGAGCAAGCGAGCATGAGTGGAGGGAAGGGGAGAGAGGGGAGAAGCAGACTCCCCACTGAGCCGGGAACCCAATGTGGAGCTCGATCCTAGGAGCCCGGGATCATGACCTGAACTGAAGGCAGATGCTTAACCGACCGAGCCACCCAGGCGCCCCGGGAATCCGTGTTCTAACGAGCAGCCCCGAGTGAATGCTGTGCAGGGGGCTTGAGAGCTACACCAGGGGTGAAGAACCAGAGGAGCCGGCACAGGGACGGTGGCGAGAGGCAGGCCTGGCTCCCAGGCCAAACACCTTTCGCTCTGATGGGCACTGCCATGTTTCGGGGAGAGAAGTGACAAGACCTTGTGGTATCACTGTGACTGTGTGGAAATGGTGAATCGAGGGGACAAGTCGACCAGTGAGGAAGTGGCTGCAGAGAGAGGGTGTGAGGAGGGAGAGGTGGATACGCAGTCGGGAGGCCAAGGGTCCGGTTGGATAGAACTGCGGAAAAGGGGCAGGGGACGTGGCTCCCAGGAGCCACGAGGCAGGCCACTGCAACAGGGGCTTTGGCCACCAAGTCCGAGGCACCTGTGGGCTGGTCCAGTGGAGCGATCAGGGCAACCAGACACAAAGACTGAGAGGTCAGCCCCAGGGAGGTAACCGAGGCAGCGGAGTGCTGGGGACTTCACAGGGGTGGGTGCAGACGGAGCCTTTAGAAGGTAGAGGACAGGAGGCTGTGTGGAAGGCCAGAGGGAGACAGGAAGAGTTGGACAGCGCTGTGCCTACTGGCATCAAACCAGGAGAAATTTGTTCCAAGAGCTCACTCAAAAATTGTGGCTTTTTGAGCAAAGAGGTCAGAGGCCTAATGAGAACTTGAGAGAGAAAAAGCCTGCCCAGTTCAGAGTAAAAGGATTCTTTTCCAGCATCAACATGATGCTGCAAACCCTTCATGAAGAACTGTAATTCTGTCCACTGACAGGAATAGCTCCTGCGAATGTGTCGGTCTGGGATGAACCCCGCTGGTCCTCCGCTACGAGGCCATTTGTATGTGGCTGTGGCTCAGTGGCCCCCGGAGGACCTGTGAAGCCCCTGGGGCGCCGTGGCTCACAGGCTGGAGGCTCTGCTCCATGGGCTGCAGACAGGAGCTCTGAAGCCCACTTTTCTGTAGAGGCTGACGGGACGGGGGGCTGTCTCCCTTCCTAGCCTCCCGTCAGTGAGGCTTGAGGACTGAACCCCTTCTTTCTCTACCCAGGACCCTAAAATGGCGACATACCAGGTGGTGGAGCTTCGGATCTTGACTAACTGGGGCCACCCTGAGTACACCTGCATCTACCGCTTCCGGGTGCATGGGGAACCCGCCCACTAAGCCTTCTCTGTGCTGCGGCCAGCCAGCTGGGAGGCCAGCCCCTCTCAGCGTGTGCCCCTTTCTCTGGGAGTGGGAGAGCAGCACCCCTGCCACTTCCCCACACGCTTGACCAGCACACAGACTTCCAGGAGCAGGAACCCCTGGCCTGATGGAGCTGAGAAGATGGAGGGCTGTCCTAGCAGTGGGACAGCTCGAGGTGGACAGCAAGCTCCAGCATCCCTTTTCTTTGTCTTCTTTGTGCCAGGCACTGGGTGTCTACTTCCCTCTCTTGGAAGGGTGTATATATGTAGCATATTGTGGGGGATTGAGAGACAGGGAGAGAGGCAATGAGTGGACAAGTTCCAGCAAAGGTGGGTGAAACCTGTCTGCCCTTTAACCAGGATGGGGGCTGGCACGGAGGGAGCTGCTATTAGTAGGCGCGTGCATGAAGCAGGTGCCAAAGCCATGGGTGGGCTGTAAGTGAGGGCCTGGGGCAAGTGAGCTGCCCCCAGCGGCGGGCGGGGAAGTGAGGGCCTCCAGGAGGTGCTCGTGGTGCAGGTTAGGATTGAGCCCCAGGCGGGCAGCTCCTTGTACAGGGCAGCCGGGCTCTTCCAGAAGTCTAGTGCCACCAACCTAAGGGAGCTTGACCCATGAGGTCCCCCAAAGGCCTCGCTACACTGTACTTGTTCTGGGTCAAAGTGGGTCCTTGGGCTTTCCCTCAAGGGTCTGGCTCCTGTAAGCCTCTGAGGGGCCAGGGGGCCGGCCTGATTCCCCCTCTGCTGGGGCTAGTTGCTTTCTCTCTCCCGATGCTGAGACCGAGGTCCACTCCGTTCCCCATTCCTGCTACGCCCTGCCTGTGTCCCAGAGCAAGCTTGTCACATTCCCGCAGGGTGCAGGGAGCCCAGACCAGTTTTTTGAGGCCAGAAGCAGCTGCGGTCAGCTTAAAAGGGTGGGGAGCAGGGTATGCCCCCGGCTCTCAAGGTGGTCCCAGGATTAGGATAGTGACATTGAAGGTGTCACGGTGGCAAGAGGTCTGTCTGGGGGCCCCCATCCCAGTCAGGCCTGAGTGTAAGGGCCCTAATTCTCAGCTGCCCCATCAGGACTCTTCCGGCTCTTGCTCAGTTTGTTTCCTTCTAGCTCATTTTCTACGGGGGCGGCGGCATTCAGGGGTGGTGGGCTGGGGGAAGAGAGGGCTCTGCTGTATTATGTATATATTCTTCAAGGTCTGATTCTTAACTGAAAAGCTTTGGGCTTGATTCCTAGCCCCGCTGTGTGGGGCACGGGCTGACTCCGCTCCTCCTCACCAGCTGCCCAAAGGGGCTGCTGTGGAGGCAGGCGCCCTGGGAGCAGGGCTAAGCCCTAGATGGGCTCCTGGGGGAGGACGCTGGAAGGAAGACGAGGCCCGAGGCCACCCGCAGCCCTCTGGCAGCAGCCCCAGCCCCGACAACCAGGTTTCATTTTGCGCTCTCCTGTCACAAATGCTGCACTGTCGGTTCTGAACTTTTTATCTCCAGATTCTAATTTATGCCTATGCAAAAAAAAATAAATTATGCCCAGGATTCAGGGCATGTGTAGTTTTTATCTGGTCCTGGCACAGGGCCTCTGCTCTTGGCGAAACAAGAGAACGAACACTGAACCAAAACAATGCCCCAAAGACTGATCCCGAATTTCAGAAACCCTGGTTTCTCCCCTGAAACCCAGCTGGGTTGGGGGAAGGGGGCCCGAGGCTGGCCCTGCTCTGGGATGCTGGCTGGGGGGAGGGGGGAGGATGAAGAGAAGGGAGGCCCTCCCGGACATCCGGTGTAAGTGCGCAGCTTTGCCTGCATCTCTCGCTGCCACTTGAGCGGAAGGTAGAATAATTTACCTGTTTCACTACTGACCACGTCGGCCTTCAGTGTGCGACTGGACTCCACCGTGGGAACTGGACATTTGCCCCTTGTACCTATGCTGGGATGGCGTAAGGAGCCGGGTGCCCTGAAGAGCCAGAAGCTGCCAGCTCCGAGGGACAGGTCCTGGCCCTCCCCTTCCAATATGTCCCCGGATTCAGTGCCTCCGAGGACCTGCCACACTTTCCAACATACTCTGCTCCTAACCATGGCACCTGATCCAGGGCCAGTGCCCACCACAGCTGAGAAAACAGAGGCTGGGACAGGTCAGTAGGGAGGGGCGAGTGAGCGGCCGCATGAGCGGGTACCAGGCGTGTATGAATCAGCACTGAGGCCTTGGGCCAGGTAACTCCTCAGCCCTCCGTGCCAGGAAAGAGCTGGTCCTATGGCTCACTCCAGTGACATTTTCGTTACTTCACTCAACACCTGCTCTGCATCTAGAACAGTCTCTCAACCAAGGAGATATCCCCCAGCTGCTCCCCGAAACGGCTGCCCGGGACTTAACACAGTCAAGGCTCAGCGCCCCTGGTTGTGTGCTCCAGGCCGGATGTGTACCCTCTGCCCATCTGCACATGTTCAAATCCTCTGGACCCTCGAGGCACAGCTCTCACCCCCTCTGCCATACCCCCAAACCCCCCGTACCATGGCCTATTCCCGTTCCCTTATTCTGTGCCAGGGAGGCCTATAAGCCAGAACAGGGGTCCTAACTGAACTGAAGACACCACAGATGCCAGCTGTACATACAGAAGGGTCAGGACTGGCCATTCGAGATGATTAACAACTTTATTCTTTGTCAGCTACAAAAGGGCTGGTGTTTTGTTCCAAAGTGAGAGTTGGTAGGGCTGAGACCCGTAGAGGACCTGTGGAGTCCCAGTTAATGACAGTAACACACTGTATGGTCAGCCCCCGTTAGCAGGCCGGGTGACCCGAGATCCAGACCAACCACCTGCGTGTCTGAGGGCAGAGGCCAGAGCGGAGACCACAGTTTCCAAATGTAAAGAAAGTGGTACTCTTAGGGGCAAAAGAATTCAAACCAAACAAGGTCCCACCCCGGTGAAATCCTGGGGAAACACAGACTCCACAGCACCTGCCACGGGGACCGAGAGCAGAAGGGTGCGCTGTGCTGGAGCCTTCCTCTTACGACGGCACCAGTGGGCAGCAGCCCCTCTAAGGAGAACCAGAGTCAAAAAACAAGAAGGAAAGAGCACACGAAGAACAGGCTGGGGCCAAAGGCCATGGGGCAGAGCGGCCACATACCGCAGATGGGGTTGGTGGGGTGGGTGGGGTGCTGGTGCTGGCATGAACCTGGGTGCTAGCCCTGCTCCTCTGAGCTTCAGCTGCCTTCGCTAGGAAAACCAACCACCACCTCTCTCCTAGATGGTGGCTTCAAAATCAAAGCGTCTAAGTGAGGGAGACACCCAGCAGACATGTCAACAGCCCCTTTCTCCCTGCACAACAGCCCACGGACCCCGGGAAGCAGCAGCGGGCCGGGTCCATGGCGCCTCCCACAGGCCGACGCCTCGAGCCTAGCCGCACACTCTCTCGCTGAATCCTCACAACCACCACCACACAGGCATTTTGTTTAACTCTCGCTCTAGATGAGGAAGTAGGTTCAGGGAAGACTGGCAACTTGGCCTGTGTCACATGTGCCACAGGAGCCTGTGTTCTGAAGCCATGCAGGCCTAAGAGAAGCTGGGCTCGTCCTGCCCCTGCCCTGCACCGCAGCAGGGGGGCTCTGGGGCAGGCACAGCCAGCGCTCCCGGTGGTGCACCTCCACCTGGAGGGCCTGGGCAGGGAACAGGACACCATCAGCTTGGAACAATCTTTTATTTTTTGTGCTGGTCTGGTCAGTCCATGGCCATGGGTCAGTGGTAACTGGAAATAGTTGGAAAGAGGGGAGGTGAGGGGACCAGCAGTCCAGAAGCAGGAAGAATGGAGAAGGGTTGGGAATGGGAGGGAGGCAAGGCTGAGGAAGGGCCCAGCCAGCTGGGTGTCTGCCCTGGCTAGAAAGAACACATCTCCACCCACCAGTCCACCCTAAACCTAGGGCTTCTGGCCACAGTTCAGGCCAGGCTGGTCTGGGCCCCACAATGCCCTCACCGGCCTCACCCCATCCCACCCCAGGCAGTGAATCTTCCAGAGGTTTTAATGCTCTGCGCTGGGCCCGGAAGAATCTTTTTCACTACCCCTACCTGCCCTCTCACACCCCAAATGGGGCTTTCGAAACGGGCTCAGGCCCTTCCCTGTTGTGCTCCTGTAGCAGCCATGATGGGGCAACATGGCGGGGCTGTAGTGGGGAAGGAGGGGTTCCAGTCCTGGCCTGGCTCAGTGGAACACCTCACACCCCCACCAGTAAGAGGTGCTGGTGAGCGGGACCCAGAGCAAGCCAAACCCAGTCCCGGTCATCAGTGCCCCAAGGCCCAGTAAGATTCCTATCATAGAAAGTTTGAGGGCCAGAGCCTCCAGCTCAAAATCAACACAACGGGAGTTGCCCTGGCCTGGCCAGGCAAACACAGGATTGTCTCCATGGGGAAAGGAAAACCACCAGCTGTCTTCGGGTCAGTGGCAAGGGTCAGAGTTAGGGGCAGGGAGGTGTCCTACAATCCAAGTGCCTCTCTCCTTCACATATCTACAGGCTACAGCTTAAGAGCTTTTGGCATTACCTGTTTGGGGGATGTAAGAGGGGGAAAGGAGAAGAGAGAAAAAGGAGGCCACCACTCTCCATTCTGTTAAAAGCCCCCCAGTCCCAGAAGGAAGGCTCCCTGCTCTGGCAGAACTTATGAAGCCCCCAAGCCCTGAGTCCGGCTCTGTGGAGGGCCCTGGGTGCAGAGGAGTGAGCACAGGGGAGAACGGTGAGCACAGGGAGGAGGGTGCTCTTTAGCTCCTGAAAGCCCCTAAAGGTTGTCACAGAGACACACGGATGGACAGATGGGCAGGCAGCCAGCTCCTAGAGGCTGGTGGCCAGCCACAGAGGGAAAAAGGAGAAAGACTGCCAGGGCCCTGACTGGCTGCACTTCTGCACCACCACCTTTCTGCACGCACACACGGGCACACGCACATACACACACACTAAAGAGAGAGAGAGATAATAAAAAGAATAAAAACTAAGGGCCCAGATGTACAAAAAATCTGAGTTAAGGAAGAAGGCGGGGAAGAAGGTGGATGATGGTCAGTCCTCCAGAAGTCTGGCCACCTTCCTCAGCTTATAAATTACAACCCCCCTGGAAAATGGGGGTGGGGGCAGGGAATGATGTGGCTCCAGCTGTGGCCTGGGGGAGGGCGGGTGGTGGTCAGAGCTGCTCTGGCCCATGTGGCGGAACAGTGGCCCGAGTGCAAGGATCCCTTGGGTGGTGGGGGTGGGCCAGGGAGATTCAGCAGCCGCTGGCAGGAGTCACACAGGCCCCCTGGGACTTCACTTTGTGCCGCTGGCCCCCCCGTCGCCGGCCCCCGCTGCTGGGCTTGGGCTGAAAGGGAGAAAGAAGGAGCTTGAGAAGTAGCGGCCCACTGGGAGCAGGGTAGGACAGCAGAGGGGCAGGGGGGCAGGAAAAGGCGTAGGAGAAAAGCGAGCAGGAAGGACGGTCCCAGCCTAGCCTGAACAGTCATCTACTATGTGACTTGGAGCCCGGCACACCCCCTCTGTCAGATGGAGCCAGCACCCAGCCTGCCTTCCTAGCAAGCGGGGCGCACATGATGATAGGGTGAGACAGAGGCGCTGCAAGAAGCACTAGGACAGCAGGAACCACCACCTGCCCCCGCGGAGAGGTGGAAAGAGAAAGGCCCAATGTGGGAGAGAGAACAGAAAGGACAGGTCCACACAGGCGTTTCCTTCTCCAAATGGGGGTCAGATAGAGATGACCCTGGAAGGAGCAATAGGAGGGGGCAGCAGGACAGAAGCAGGGGACAAAGCTAACAGGAGATGCTGAGTGAGAGCCACACTAGTATGGGGCCCACGGCCTCCTCTACGCCCACCCAGGAGGACGCTCTGCACCTTTCCGATGACCTTCTGGACCGCCACACACACATCCTAGTCCCACACAGAGACCACGCACTCGCTCTTGGGAGATGGAAACCCAGACATTTTCTATTGCTTCATTATCAAATGCTAATTGAGACCGACTAAATCAGCTTTATGCAGGTCACACCTCAAAGGTCAGAAAATACTGCCCTAAGAGACAAACAGTGCTCACTTGGCACTATGTGCTGAGAGTCGGGGGAGACAACTTCTATGCTCTGCAGGCGTGGGAGCAAGACCCAGGCTGCCTGAAGCTGTCCTGTCACCTCCACCAACTAGAGTACCAGTCACCCTCCCACTCCCACCCCGAGGTGGTCAGGGGACCAGCTCAGCCCGAGCCACACACTCACCTGTGGCTGGAGACTGCTGGACACAGCTGGCTGCACAGTCCCCAGAGAGCAAGCTTCATCTCCAGGTGGGGGCACCCCTCCTGCCGGCCCTCCAGAGGGACCTCCGTCTTCTCGTTTCGTTAAGGGACCCTTTTTTGTTGACTGCATTTTAATTTGCTGGGGCTTTGAATTCATCGGGGAGTTGTTGGTGGTCTGGAGGAGCTGCAGGAGGAAAGGAGTTAAGGATGAGGCTGGAGCTGCAGGCAGTGGCATTGGCTCAGCTGCCCAGGCCCCAGGCCCGAGGCCCCGGCCCCTGCCTCCGGGGACTTCCCACTCCCCGGCCCCGCTGGTCCTAAGCAAGGTGGATGGCAAGGGGGCCATGACAGGGGTGGTGGGCTAGAGAGATGTCTTCATCCCCATTCAGTGTCCCAGGGCAGCCCCTTCCCCCACTGATGTCTCATCTGCCTCAGCCCAGCCCGCTCCATCCTAGTCCCTGCTCCAGCTGCTCTGCCCACTGACAGCCTGGGCATCTTGGCCACCCCCACCTGGCCAAGCTCCTAGGCTCGAGTCTGGCCTGCCCAGAGCCTTGGAAGGACCTTGAGGCTTCCCTGCTAAGCTGGCTAAAACTCCTCAGAGCACCAACTGCATCTCTCCCACTGCGCCGATAACAAGAGTCTGGGGCAAGTTTTAATTTCAGGCCTCCCAAAGAGACGAAGTGAATGTTCAGCATCTAGAAACATTTAGAGCGTGGCTATCAGGGATCCTAACAGCTACCACCCAGGAAGGACTGATTTAGCACCTTCCCTTTTGCCCAGGTTCAATCTCAAAGCAGCGGGGAGGACTGCCATACCCCCAAGGGCACTACAGCATGTGCTGGAAGCTTCTGCCGCTCTCAGTCAGTCCCAGAAGCAAGTGGCCTTCAGGGACATGATTGGGTCTGCACAGAAGGGTCTGAGGAAGGCTGTTCTGGAGGCAAGGCCACCCTAAGGCTGATCCCAAGATTTCACACAGGCTATTTGGAGCAAGAGTCAAATCACTCTGTCAAGTGCCCCCACCCAAAGCCACGAGTGAAGTCTGCAGAGGGCATGAAGTGGGCTCCAGGACACACAAACAGCTCAAGCCCCAAGGGAACTCACGCCTAGGCCCCCCTGCTGTCCAACATTCACTCTGACCTGACCCAGTGCTGTAAGGGTAGCACCCCAGCCAGGCCACTGGAGCCTGCACCTGGGGCATGTCAGAGGCCGACCACAGCCACGTCCAGATACCCTATCTCCTATGAGGACAGACAGGCCTCAACCACACCTGCTCTCCTCCAGGGTCACCACCAAAGCCCGGGGAGACCTCTCAGGGGCAAGAGAGAAAACGGCACTGAGGCCGCACTTCAGCACTGTTCCAACTCTCCTAAGGCAGGAACTAGCACCTCCTCTGTCCCTGGCAGTTAGGGGGACTTTCTCGGGCTTCTCCGGTTGCGCTCACAGTCTGAAACTGGCGTGGCCTAGTGCTTCCTGGGGCTGGGCGAGGAGGACTGCCTGACCATACCTTGGTGATGGTGCCCACGGCCTTGGTGCGGCCTTCTCGGAACACCAGCCGCTGGTCTATGTGCAGGTACTCAGGGGTCTTGATGAAGCGGAAGTGCACAGTGGCCTTGTCCCCAGTGCGTAGACAGTCCTTGTCCATGCTCAGAATGGTAGCCGTCTGCCTGATGCTCCCACAGTGCACTGCCAAGAGAGCCGGGGGTCACCATAGAGCTGACAGAGCCAGGGGGTCACAATAGAGGTCACTGAGCTCCCCAGTGGCCTCTGGGCAGGAGAGACAGGAGTGAGAACATAGAATATGCTGGAGCTGTGGTCCGCTCAAGGCTTCAGGAGGCCGCGTGTGGCCAAGTGAGTTGGAGGTCTGCTCTCAGGTCTGATCCTGCCCTACACACCCAGTTAACCCCTGTCCTTGGACCCACGGTCCTGGTTCCTGAATACAGGGCACTCTGTTCACATGTGCGCCTTCTCTAGACTGTCGGCTTCTTGACGTAGATCCCCTGCCCAGCACTGTGTCCCCAGCATCTTAGCAATACCACATGGCACACAGCAGCATTTTGAAGACGTTTGCCGAAAGAATGAAAGTGAGATTCTGGGGGCAAGACTGGGTCTCCAGAGCCCGGCAAAGCCGGCACTTGGTGAATGTCTGCAGAACTGAATAAACATGGCAGCTTACGGGCAAGAGAGGGAGACCGGACTCTCGGCTGCAGCTGAAAGCTCGGGGTTTGGGTAGCTGCAATACTTTGTTGGGAGAGCTAGAGCAGAGGGCCTCTGCTGGCACTGCCCTCAGACACCTACCCATGGCCTGGTAGCGTGGGCTAATCGTGGTGGGGTGGTGGAGGACAAGGATCTCGGCCTCAAACTCCCAGGATGCTTGGGGATTCAAGCGTGGGGAAACCATCACCATGCCCTTGCGGATGGACGAGCGCTTGATCTGAAAGAAAGAGGGAATGCCGGACCTCAGGGGCAAATAATGCCCAGGGCTTCTCTCCTCTGGTCCCAGAAGACCAGGAGTTCTTTCTGGGAATGGAGACCACCCCAACTCAGCCTTGACCTCCTACTGCACTAGATCACAGGCCTTCTAGGGTGGATAACGCAGGGCCGACTCGAGCTCTAAGCGGGAAGCCTAAGCACCGCTGCTGAGGATCGGGGAAGGCTTCAGGCAGGAGCTGGCACTTGGGCCAGGTTTTGAAGGACGCGTGAGAATTAAGAAGTGGTGAGAGGGCAGAGGTAGGCAAGCGTTCAAGTGGAAGGGACAGGGCCAGCGTGATGTGACTGTTGGAGAGGATAAGGGAAGTCCCACTCTGCTGGTTAATGTGGTTGGCAGGGAGGTAGGTGACCTTAGAGCTAACACTTACCCCAATCCCCGAGGGACAGAGGACTGACTGGGAGGAGGACTGGGCATGGACTCCAAGGATCCTACCTAGAGGGACCATCTGCACAGGGGGGTGGTGTCTTTCTCATCTTACCACTGAGCTTGGAGCACCTATCGCAAGCACTAGGAGAAGGAAAAGAGTTTAGAAGGCAGGCAGGCCTGGGCTCAAGTTCTGGCTCTAGAACTTACTAGCTGTGTGTTCCTGGGCAAGTCACAAGACTCTGAGCCTGAGTTTTCTGACCTATAAAAGTGAGGTCAGTAATCCCCGCCATATGGAACGGCCAGGACGACTGGAAATGGCCCAGAGTCTAACGTAAGAATCCGAAGGGAGTTCTTGGTATTCTTGGCACTCACCTTCTTCAGTGCAAAGGAGGCTGTCTGGCCCCCCCGCACCTCCTTAACAGGCATGCGCTTGCGGTGGATTGATTTGACAGCAATGGACAGGAAGTTACCCAGGGGATCTGGGCCAAGCAGCAGTGTGTCATTCAGCTTGATCAGGCCTCTCAGTGTTGTCCCCGACACCACTGTCCCCACACCCTGCAGAGAAGGCCAGGGTCCAGTCAATCGATCCCACTTAGGTCCTCCCCACGACATACTTGCCTTGACGTCCCTGCAGGAAGCACCCGCGCAGCCTCCCACCCTGTTCAGTCCTCCAGAAGCTACTCACCGGGACAGAGTAGGTGTCGTCGATCTGAAACTCGGCGGGCTCTTCCTCCCGGTAGCTGGTGCGGGGGGAGAGGAGGTTGAGGAACATCTTCAGCAGATCAAGGTTCTCACCTGTAACGTTGGAGATCTGGAATATCGGGCACATCCTAAGTGGAGGGTGAAGAGAGACAAAGGAGCTCAGGTGGCCAGCTTCTGTGTGACAGGGTGGGAGCAGGAGACCTTTTGGAACATGTGAGGTGGCTAAGGGCCCCGTTGCCCCCTCACCAGCCTCCCAGGCCTGGGCTCCACTCGCTGTCCCAGCCTTCCAATTGCTGGCCAGACCACTCTAAGGCCTTCTTCTTTCATTCAGTTTTATCTCTAACATCTGTCCCCTTGTCTCTGTCCCTCTACCGCTGCTGTATTTGGGGTCCGTATGGCTGCCTCTTCTTCCTAAAGCACACACATTCTTTTTTTTTTTTTAATTTTATTTATTCATTTGAGAGAGAGAGCGTGCACGCACATGTGAGGATGTGAGGGGAGGTCAGAGGGAGAAGCAGACTCCCCACAGACCAGGAAGCCTGATGTGGGACTCGATCCCGGGACTCCAGGATCACGACCTGAGCTGGCAGTTGCTTAACCAACTGAGCCATCCAGGCACCCGAAGGATACACATTCTTGCTTAAAATTCTTAAATTGGCTTAGTTCTGCCTTTCCACTGCAAAGAAGTCAGACAGAATTTCCTCTTCCCAACATCTCTGCAGGTTTATTCCTCTCAAGTTCCTGTCTGCCAGGCAGACCAGAGAACCCTCTCCTCACCCAAAAGCTTAGTGCTTTTTTGCTTCCCATGTATTTCTTTATCCTGATCCTGCTGCCTCAACTCCTTCCCTCTTGCCCAACTAACAAATCCTCCAGGGCCCATTTCCAAGGCAGATTTTTCCAGGAAACCCTTCTCTGATGGACACTCCTGACCCCTCCCAGATCTAGGGAGCACTTTTTGCATTTCTGTTACACATAATTACACCTGATTTTCCATCAGTCATCACAATAGCCTCTGTGTCCTATCCAAGGTTAATCATACTCTTCAAGATCAGGAATTCTAATATTCCCCATTGCTCCTGGAATAGCACCTGCACAGAACAGGCGCGAGGAACGAATGGAAACGCACCCCCTCTGCTGGCTGCCTGACGGTACTGAAGGCAGCGACGGGACGCTGCCACAGGCCAAAATGCCAGCCTGCTCCGGGCGCTGTATACCCACCAAGCCAGGAGGCAGATGGCTCCCGAGCACCCCAAGACTCTGGGAAAAGGAACAAACTTACAAAGTTCGCTATCATCAAGAGAGTATCTCTGACCAAGGAGGTGACCACCTTGAAGACAAGGATTATACCTGAGTCCACTCTGAATCCTCAATGCCTCGAAGACCTTAGTACAGAACATCTAATAAACATGAATGGAACCAAAGGATTCACTAATGAATAAATGCCAAATGCTAATCTGTGATTGAGAGTTTCTCAGAGACAACAGTATAAAAACAGTATAAGAACAGTTATAAAAAAGGCTGTGTATGTATCACATGGCAGCCAGCCACAGTGCTAAGTGCTTTATACACATCGTTTCTAACACTTCCGAGGACCCTGTGGGGAAGGGAATACTGTTCCCACTTCACTCGTAAAGACACTGAAGCCTCAGCTGGAATTCCAACTTTAGCAAGGCCAGCACCTCAGAATCTGGGTTGCCTGATGCAGCTCCTAAGCAACATTGCCAGCATGGGAGAGCTTATACTGAGACCAGAATCTTCTATTCCAACCAATCTCTGCCTGCTCAGCAGTGAGTGCTCCCTACCCCATTACCTCTCAGAGCTGAAGTTGGAGGCCGTAACGATCACATCGTCCTTGCTCTGTACCAACACAGGGATCTTCCGGCAGCCTGGAGACTTCAGCAAGCGCTGTAACAGCTTCAGGGTTTCTTAAAGGTTGAAATGGAACACAATTAGGGGGACACAGCTTTCTCTCTGGCCAGGTTTCCAGGTCAAGACTGGTCCACTCCTTGCTGAGAGAAGCAGGAGACAGACAGACCAGTGTTAAATGCCATGCCTGGAGAAGCAAAAGGAGGATCAAAACTTGGGGTGGGCACATGCTTGCTAGAGGAGAAGGAACACAGATAAAGCCTGTCTGGTAAGGTTACGAGTCTGAAATTTGTCATATTTCTCCAGAGTCTCTTAAAGACCCAAATCCTGTAAGAAAGCGGGTCCATGGGAAAAGCAATGTTCTTCTCAGAATGCTCTGCTTCCTGGATAAAGTCATCTGACGAAGGATCTCTAGGATATTTACACATCTGCAGAAGCCCTTATGAGGCATTCCAAAAGGACACCTCTCCTCTTCTCTTCTACTATCTGTAGGAATGAGGGAGAAATGTGAGGCTTTTCTGAAACATTTGCTGGTAGAAGGCAATCAGACCCTCTGCCCAAATGCCTCCGTATGTATCCCGTTCAGATGGTAAAACCCAACCCCCTGGCCCTGGGACCATCTGAAAAGAGATGCCAGATTAGGAATCTCAAGGATCCTATATTTGGAACCAGAAGGAACAAAGAGCAGAGGATAATTCTAGGGTGCTTAGACCAAGAGCTAAACAAGGGAGGAAGCAGAAGATTCTGGCTTGATGAAAACTCAGAGCAAGGTCTGAGCACAAGATAAAAAAGCAGAAGATTTGGGCGGAAGCCCTGGCAGCATCACCAAGGAGCCACAGTGGGCGACAGCCCCAAACAGAGACTGCTACTAGCCGCAGGCTTCACTTACCTTGCAGGATGTTGGCAGGACACATGTCAATCTTGGTGACCACCACAAAGACAGGCACATTGAGTGCCAATGCCAAGCCCAGATGTTCCTTGGTCATCCCCACGATGCCAGCATTGCTGCCCACCTGCCCCAACACAGAAGGAAAGGTCAGGACAAGGGAGACACAAGTTGATGCTGGGTGGGCACAGGGCCTCCAAGAAGGCTGGGTTAAGAGAGAGCTCTCATCTGAGGCCCATCTGAGGCCTCCATCAGAACAGGACACATGGAGCAGAAGTCTTAGGCCAGAAACAAAAGAGCTGTTGATGAAAGTATGGCTGGGCACAGATGGCTTTAACCTCTGATTTAATGACGCGGGCTGTCAAAATCTGAAAAGACTTGGAAGCAATAAAAAAAAGACAAACCCAGACAGTCCAGGGAAACAACTGTCTAGCGTCATCAAGGCAGATTCAGTCTAACACCACTGGCCCCCAGTTTCCCCATCCATAAAATGGAGGGATAATAATATCCCCTTTAGAGGGTCTCCTGAGGTTTAAGTGTCATAACGTAGGTCAAAGGTCCTGTGCACGACCAGCGTGATTTAGATATTCAGGCAATGGCAGCTCTCTATTCCCTCCCATAACAATAAATGTTTTAAAATATCACCATAAAGGTTGGCTTAATAAACGAGGGCATGGGTGTAAGTGTGCCATACAAAATGTACAAAATGTGCCATACAAAATATACAGATAAAAAAGAGGAAACACTTATCTATTGACATGGGATAATCCCTAAGGTACGTTTTTAAGAGAGGAAAAAAAGCAAGGTGTATAGCATGCTACCATTACAAGGGTGTAGAATGGATCATTGTTTGAAAAAAGCGGGTGTGAAGAGCTGGAAGACATTCGGGGAACATCTGAGATCATGTAAACACTTACAGCCTAGATATTAGGGAACTCTCGTTCATCTTCCTGGCTGCTGTAACAGCAGGAGGTAGTTCTTATTTTTGGAGCTGTGTGCTGAAGGATTTGGGGGTCAAGAGTCACAACGCCTATAATCTACTTTCAAATGATTCAGCCAAAACAACAACAAAAATACACATACGCATCCGAGACATAAAAGATGAACAGAGCAAACGTTAGTGATTGCTGAATCTGAGTGGTGGGTCTATGGGATTTATCATATTATTCTTTCAACTTTTCTGACGGTTTTGAAGCTGGATGGAGAGAATACATCCACATTTGCTGGTACGATTACAAAATCTCTTGAGGAATACCTAAGAAACTGGAAATACTGGTTGCCCTGAAAGGAAACTGGACAAGGGAGGAAGAGAAACTTTTCACTATAAGCCCTTTGGCATCTTTTTGTTTTGTACCACATGAATGCGCTACTTACAAAAACAAAATTAAATTAAAGTTGCCATGACACATTTACATAGTGTTTAATACATTCCAGAAGGTTTTCAAGTGATGTTCTCACTTGATCCCAGGTCACAGGTGAGCTGCTATCCCCCCAACACCAACGTCCCTCGCATATTCCCTTCTGCCGACACCAAGATACCTCCTCTCTCTGCCTTCTAATTCTTCTCATTTCTTCCAAACACCTTTCCTATCCAACCCAGACTTGCTTTTGTTCTTCCCAACTGGGATAAAAGAATGCTCTATCACTCTGTTGTCTATATATATTTTTTTTTTCAAGATTTATTAATTTGACAGAGAGAGAAATCACAAGTAGGCAGAGAGGCAGACAGAGAGAGAAGGGGAAGCAGGCTCGCTGCTGAGCAGAGAGCCTGATGCGGGGCTCGATCCCAGGACTCTGGGATCATGACCTGAGCCGAAGGCAGAGGCTTTAACCCACTGAGCCACCCAGGCGCCCCTGTTGTCTATATATTTTAAAGCTTTTTTTTTTCCCGCTCTGGAAACTGATTGTCATGAGGCAATAATGATTTCAGTGTTTTATACAGAAAATGTTTAATATTTAGATTACTGCCTAAAAGTCAGATAATATAGAACGTTTCACCTAGGGTGAAAGTATTTCCTTTAATTGGCTTCGTTCCCTATAGCTCTGTTGGAAAAATGCTCATTTGAGACTGGTTTCTGTACCTTTCTTAATACAAACTCGACAACTGCCCCCAGTACGCCCTACAGCTCCTCCTCTGAAATCCCTTCTTGTAGAGCAGCTTTCCTTAGCCAAGTTGGTGGTGGCCCCTTGAAATGCTCAAGGATATGGGAGATGAAATAGTGCTGAGATCCCAGGAACCTTGGCCAGAGCGCTGACAAGCGCGTTCGCACATACGCTCTGCCTCCTTACTCTCTAGTCTGGGGAGAATTTGCCTGAGAACCATGTTTGTGGGGCAACTTGATCAACTCCGCTCTCAACAGATGCCCGTGTTTACCACACTTATTAATACAGGCAGCTGGAGGAACTGGGAAATGGGGAAGGGCTTGGAGAAGGACTTGCCAAAGGAAAACTCGCTCACTTGTGCTCTCTGTGAAAGCTGTGAAGCTGTGTGCAAGGCTGTGGACCCCCCCGACTCCCACTCTCTGTCCACAGAAGAGGAGTGGGACCTGAAGGGAAGCTCTGCGGCATGATCCAACACGGAAGCCTCCGCTCCCTCCCCTTCTCAGGTGAACTACAGGATGAGCTGCTGGAAAATCTTACTAGACTCAACTGCTATATCTCCAGGCCCAACACGGTGCCAGGCACTCAGCAGCCTCTCCACAAGCACCCTGGACTGGCTGACACTCCTCCCAGGTTTTGAAAGAGGCCACTTCCCCGGCCCCTCTTGACTGCGGTCTGTGCTCTCCTCCATTTCTTCCCAGGCCTCCCCTTCTCTGGGCGGTGCCACCTGGTGTCACCTCCACAGAGCAGCCTAACCCCAGGAGAAACATTTCTGAAGGTAGTAAGCCAGCCCCACGAGAAACCCTCCTCTGTGCCTCTTTGGGAAATAGAAGAGGTCCATAAATGGCACCAGGAAGAGAGATCAAGGTACAGCCATTGAGAAGGCCATAACGCTCAGGGGACTGGGCATCCCTATAAAATGTCAAAGCCCCAAACCAAGAGGCCTCCGTCGCAGCACAATTTCTAACACTTGCGCATAAGCACCCCCAAACAGCCCACGGAGCCTCCCCTCGTCAGGATCGTCTCACGCTTACCATGAGCATGCAGAAGTCCGGCAGATGACCTGTCATGCCGAAGACCGTGGTCTTCAGGTATTTCTCGTGGCCAGCCAAGTCGATGAAGGTAATCACCTTAGTGGACTTCTCACAAATCTTTGTCCATTCCAGGCTGCCACCGTGGCTGTCCGGCTTGTTCACCACGTTGCCTTCACTGTCAAAGCCCAGAATGTCGTTGCCCACGCTGCTGGTGCGACCGGATTCAATCTCGTGTTTGTGGCGGAAGAGCTTCTGGCGGGCGAAGCCTCGGCCATTGTCCAGCTCCCCGTGTGTCAGGACCCCCAGAAGTGTGCTTTTGCCAGCATCCACGTTGCCTACTACTGCTACCCTGCGTGTACATGAACCCAACAGCCTTGTGAGAGTCAGCAGCGGAGCAAAAATGAACCCGAGCAGCTGGATCTCTAAGGACAGACTTGCCCCTGAGCCCCTCCAGCTCCCGCTCCTCCCATTCATGGCTAAGCGCGTTGGGGATGGCCCTGGAGGGACACCCAGAGCAGAAAGAATTATTTAGGAGGAACTAGGCTCCTGTCCCAATGCCTTTCTTGTCAAGCCTCTTCAAAGCTGCCAGAAAGGAGCCCAAGAACCAAGAGAGGAACAGAATGCTCTTCTCCAAGACATGGGTTTTTAGTCTCGCAGGCTGACAGGTAAGAAAACGCAGCCCACGCAATGGCCACAAATGTACGGCTAGCCTCCCACTCTTACCAAATGGAAATATTTGGGGATGGGCAAGTATGGAAATAGCAAATGGGGCAATCACATCTCTGGACACTCCTTCCATGCCTCAGAAGGGGAAGGAGTGAAGCTGGTATGCCAGGCGCCAAAGGCTCCGGCACCGTTCTCTCGAAGCCCTAGACCAAAGGTCAGGCTGCAGAGAACTCCTGAACTGTTCTGAGGCCTCCTCACCTGACCTCCAGGAAGTCATTGTCTCCTACTCGTTTCCGGACCAGGTAATCACGCACACGGCCCCCAGCTTCTTGACGTTCCCGCAGGAGGATGACATCAGCCTCTATCTGCTCCGCCATGCTCTTCACCGTGGCATAGGAGGCCTCCATGTCGGCTTCACTCAGCCCATACTCAGTCCCATCTGGTGACAAGAGCCCAGACATCAGCCTGCCAACAAGTCAGCCGGTCAACCACCCCTACCAAAGGCCCCACCCCAGGCACAGGAGAAGAACATGGCTCTCTCTACCAGACACTTCAAAAACTTGGGCATTCACGGAGTTAATAAATAATCGTGCCATGGGCTTCCCTTTCAAGAAGGGTGTTCATTAAACAGTAATCACTAAGATTCTCTGAGGTTTTATGCCAAGCCTCATGCTGGGTACGGAATACAGGTGCCCTTGGTGAGCTCCCAGCCCAGCAGGAGACACAGAAAATTAATTAATTGTAATACAGCTTAAGTGCTTTACTATAGAACTGTACAAAAAGAATGTAAAGCATGAGCAACTGGCATTGCCTGGGGAAGCTGAGGACAGCTTTGCAGGGTGCTGACTCCAAGCTGGGTCTCTAAGTATGGAAAACGGACCTACAGAGAGAGGAGTAGAAACATCCTAGGCAGAGGAACGAAGCATGGAGCGTGGCAGATCACGGCACATTCAGGGACCAGTAAGCAGCTCGGTATGTTGGGGAGCAGGATGTCAAGTGGTGAGAGACCACACAAGAGGTGGGAGCTGTTAAGCAGAGACGTCAGAGAGCAGCAAAACACAGTATATACCAGGCAGTGGGAAGCCTTGGGGGTTTAGGCAGGGAGTAACATGACTAGATTGCTGTGGGTTAGAAAGATGTCTGGAGCAGCAATATAAAGTGTGCACTGGCAAGCGAGAGACCAGAAAGGGGGAGCCCAGTTAGGAAATAATACTAATAATCCAGGCAAGAGATCATGAGGACAGGAGTCAAAGGAAAACGGGGAGAGAATTTAAGAATGATTTTAGTTAGGGACAGATTTTTTAAATGAGGTGGCTCAGGTGAAATATCCAGCAAGCAGCTGAAAAAAATAAGTCTGAGCTCAGGATGAGGAAGGGCGTCCAAAGGAAAGTCAATGGACCAGTCACTCACTTGAGTGCTTACTGTAAGGCAATCCCGGCAAGGTGCCTTCCGCATGGTGTCATTCAATTTCCACAACTGCTCCCTCAGCTTTTCCTCCAGGCTCTGGGTCTCACAGAACACCTCCACTCCTTCCCTAGGCTGACCCCCACAGCATGACCCCAACCTCTCTTCTCTTATACTGTCTCCCAAACACCTTGCAGTACCTTTTCTTACCTTCTCTTCCCTCCCTCCATGCCTCCCCTTATAAATGAGCTCATTCTTAAACCACAAAAAGGAAACCCACCCCCTTTTCCCTTGCCCCTGCTTACTAAGCTACCATCTCCCCGGTTCCTCCTCTTCCCACCAAGCATCTCAAAAAAGTGATTGCACCTGCTGACTATTATTTCTGATGACTGCAGAAGAAACTGGTTTTCAAGACATAAACGGACTTCAACCACTCATCTAATGCCCTTTTCTTGACCCCTCCAGCATTTGACACTGCTGGCTATCCTACCACCTTTGCTTCTTGAAGCACTTCCCTCCCACTCCGCTTGCCTATTGCCTGAATTCTCCTGATTCACCTCTCTACCCTCTGGTTCCTTCTTCTCGGTTTCCTCTGGCTACTCTTCCCGCTCCTATCCCCTAAATGCCAGTCTTTTCTAGCAATCAGTCAGTGGCCCTTTTCTCTAGCTTCTAAACATTTCCCTTGGGCACCTCATTCTACGGTTCAAACTGTAGTTTTGCATACCACAGAAACATTCGTTTCTAGCACTGTCCTCTTTGCAGAGCTCCAGACTGAATTTCCAGTTGCCTGGATGGTAACTCTTCGAAGCCTGGCATCTAAACTCAACCATTCCACCCCCCCCCCCTTTTAAACAACAGCACAAAAACTAACAGCCCTAACATAGCATTTGAGACATCCCTGCAATCCTAAGTAGTAAGCATTACTGTTCCCATTTAGCAGTGGGATAAACAGAACCCACCGAGGTCTCAGGGTTGGTAAAGAGCCAAGGGGCTGTGCGAGCTCTTGGGTCTTCTGATTCCAAACCTAGAGCCTTTTCCTCTGGCAAGGATTCCTCCTTGTGCCCGACTAGTTCCTCCCTTGCCTTCCTTACTTCTGATGACACCACCACCCTCCCAGTCACCCAAGCTCAATGCTCAACCCTCCAGTCCTGCTGATTCTAGCTTTAGGCCTCGTCCTTCCGTCCTTGTCCCTGCTCTCTTGTTGCCAATCCAGTGCCACCAGCCTGATTCAGAGTCTGTTCTACCTCAATCCCTGCAAGACCCCTAGCTTCTCCTAGAACACCTGGGCTCTGTTCCCTGCAGCCCAGCCTCCATACACACAAGCTTAAGCTCCTAATCCGGCACAATTCTGACGTTCTCACTTCTAACTCAAAGCCCTGGAATGGCTCCCCTAGCCCAGCAGCATCCGGTTCAAATTCCTTAAAGGAATCCCACACCCCCTCCTCAGTTTTGTCCCGATGTAAGTGACCCAGTCGCCATCCCCCATGTTTCCTGCACTTCTTCAGCTTTACACCTTTACCTAGATATTTGCCATCCTAGAAAGCCCCTCAGTGCGCCACATCCCACCCCTTGTGGAGCAGTGTTTTGGATGCATCTACTCCCCCACTATACACAGGCATCCTGAGGACAGGGGGTATCTCAAACATTCCCCGGATGCCCCATGAGGGTGCTTCTCCTCCATCAGGCCCTCTAATGTTTGCAAAATGCAAAACAAATGAACAAAGAGGGAGCAGTTGGGCTGAGGAGTTTCCAAATACACGGCCAGCTGAGTCTGGAAATCTTCTGGTTAGAGAAGGGCTTGTTGTGAGTGTTCCTAAGAGGAAGTCTGCTAATCCTGCCATTCTTGCCAGACCCCCAAGTTCTATCCAACCTTCCCCGTTTCTGGTAAAACAAAATGCTTTCAGGTCCTGTTCCATGCCAGGGGGCAATCATGAGTGTTGCCCTATCTAGAGCTCCCGGAAAACGCTCCCAGTCACATCACCCTTCTCCAGCACGCACTGCATTCCTCACTCTGGAGGAGTGGACACAAAGGTCAAGGAGAAAAGCTGCAGAGGTCCAATTACCTAAGACCACATATTCAGCCATGTCTGAACCTAATCAGATCTCTGTCCTGCCATCTGACTTACCTTTTCTGTACGTACTCTCCTGCTCAACATGCGGTTAGGATACAAGTCTTAACTCTTTGACATAGTATTCAAAAACCATCAAGATCTGGGCCCTGCAACCTGTCCAGCCTTCACCCTCCTGATACTCCCAACCTCACACTCTATATTCCCACTTTACAGAATCACTTTTGGGGACGCCTGGGTGGCTCAGTTGGATAAGCATCCAACTCTTGACTTCAGCTCGGGTCATGATCTCAGCGGGGTGAGAGCCAACCCCCTGTTGGCCTCCACACTCAGCAGGGAGTCTTCTTGAGATTCTCTCCCTCTGCCCCTCCCCCAACCCACTCCCCTACGAGCTAAGATATATACATTTTTAAGAGAATCACTTTTGGCTCACCAAATATTCCACAATCACCAATGCCTCTGTGTTTGTGCATGTGGCTTTCTCTGCTCACTTACTATTGCCTCCATTTACCTGAAAAACTCCTATTCACCCTTTAGTATCAATTCAAGGAGCACCTCTTCTTTGAAGCCCTTCCTGACTCCCCCAGAAAGACTTAACACTCCTCCTATGTTCCCTGAACTTTTAAAATAGTAGCTGGCTCTTGTAAGCCATGACTTAATATGAAAAATGAACAAAGTGGTTCTTGAAAGAAGTCTCATGGTAAGTCAACTATAACTTGGAATCCTTAAGAAATTATTACTGCAATTACTAACGCTAGGTAACGTTTATATAATGCTTACTGTATGTCAAGCATTAATCTTCACCATGACACCATGGGATAGATTCTATTATTAACCCCATTTTAAGACAAGGAAAAGAGCCAACAGGCAAATGCAGACCTACCAGGCTCCAGACCCTGGACTATCAGGCCAGGCTGCCACCTTTTAAAATTAGGAATGTGTACTTAAAGAGCACATTACTCTACTTAGAACTTTTTAACACCTAACTTATCCATACAAAATCTCTCTGCGGTAGGGTAAAGAAGTGTGTCATTATCCCCATTTTACAGATGAAGGATGGGATAAACAGAGATGAAGCACCAGCACGCGCAGGAAGTCAGTAATGAAGCTGACCCCTGCGGGCCTCGCACCTGCTGTAGTCTTCTGATGTTCAACTTGTTTAACTAGTTATGACGGCCTTCTCCCTCTAAAGAAGTCCAGCAGGAAGGAGTCACTGTGAATGTAACAGCGTCTGACTGGTAGATGCAAAGATAACACTTGGGTGTGTATATGTGGCAATGAGCCTCTCACGTTTTCTTATGCTTTGCCATCGGATGGTTAATTAGTTGTGAGTTGCCAAGGCATGGTAAAATTCACTGAGTCCACATTAAAGAATAAGGGGGAAAGGGTGGGGTCTTAAGAATTTAGATCATCAAAGAACAGTCCCAACACTTGTCAAAATCGATCTAGATGAGGTTTCTTCAATGCTCCAAGCATGGAGTGGCCTTGGAGTGGTTCATTCTGTTACAGTAGGCCAGATGTGCACCTGAACAAAAGCTTTCAAAAAGCTACCAACAATCCCCTAGCCACCAGACAGAACGGCTTTTTCTGAACCTGACTCTCCTTAATGTCTTTAGCACTTGACAATGCTGACCAATTTCCTCCCTTTCTTGACAGGCAACTTCTCAGTTTGCCTATCTCTCTGACCACGCTTTCTTTAAAGTGATAAGACCCGAAACGGGAAGGTGGCAGCAAGGATGGAGTGGAAGGGATAGATAGGAGAGACATTTCAAAGGAAGGCACAGCAGTATTTGAAGATCAAACCCTTCTTCCATGTGTCAGTCTTGAAGCATTTCCAAATATTATTTTCTACTGAAGTTATCTATTTATATGCCACCTCTCTGGGACAGAGACCAGATTATAAAGTATCCAAAAGTACTTTGCAACAGTATCAAGCTCTTAGAAGATACTTAATAGATAGCTGTCAAATAGTTAAAGAATGATTTTGAGATTTCTCCATCTTAGACTAACAGGAATTATTACCTGCCTTTACAAAGCCTACATTCAGCAAAGAACTGTTCCTTTAATGATGCATCAAGGTCCACCAAGGCTTCCTGCAAAGATGACAGAGACAAGTTCTGGTACGAGCTAAATCTATAATTGTTAATAAGCCCAGCTGCCATTTCAGCAAAGATAATGTCATAATGAAGCAAGGGTAAGCGGGCCTTGTATCGAGGTTATAAACTAGAAACAACCCCCCCCAAAACTCCCAAAGCCCCCAAAAACAAAAGTCCAAGATATAATCTGCAATGAGGACTGTCTTTCTCTTAAAACGGTGGGCCCCATTACAATGGAATAAGCAGGCGGGAGGACATTAATCAGCCCCTTCCAGAATAGTAACGAGGCTACATGTCTGACAGGATCTCAGAGAGAGAAAAAGAGGACTTCTGTTATCACAACTATGCACACTGAATGGTCACTGTGGTTTAGGCAAGGTAGCCTTGCAGAAGAGAGGAATTCTGGGTGTCCCTTTCTTGCAGATGTCAAGAAGAATCACAAAGGTTCTCTGCAAAGCAGGCGGTAAGTAGCAACGGCATCTGTAACGTGGGCCTGGACAGGGAAGACCTAGAGCTGCCCAAGGCAGGCTTAACTGTAGATCTAACTATGACTTGTTCTATTACCTGAGATAAGAAGTTTCCTTGCTTTGTACTTTCCCTTTATGCAAACTGAGAGTGCTGGAGGTAGAAAAGAAGCACCTGTAAAACCGCCCGGAAAGTGAATCTTTGAAGTGAAGCATATTATGACCACTAAGGTGGGAATTAGCATTATCATTTTGTACTTTAATGTCCTCCCAAACAGTTCTGCGGACACTAAAGAATCACTGTGACCGAGACACATGAACAGGAAGTCAATAAAAGAGGGAAAATGTGCTCTAAATAATTTTGTAAAAATAAAGCGTAAGGAAAACTATGCTCACCTGATCCCTGCCCAATGACATATATGGTCTCTCCGCATCCCTCGTCCATCCTCTCCCACATCTGCCGAAGTAGGCTGTCATACTGCTCTGATGTAGGGCTCACTAGAACCAGCTAGAAGAGAAACCAACAGCCTTAAGACCACACTTACAAGAGCACCACAGCCAAAGTAGATCAACAGCCTGACCAAAGACCCTGACTGAACCCCATAGACCCTGACCTAAAATAGCTACACAACCCCCTCATGCCCTCTCTGCCTCTCCTGAAATAGACTCTGAGCCTAAGCCTTCCATGAGTTAAGTTATATGATGGACTAAAATGAGTATGTCTGAACCACAACCCACAGAAAAGAGGGTGTGAGGAGCCTGCTTCCTGCTGCTTAACAGGAGGGCGGGACCCACAGTGACTGAGAATCTGGACTGTGGGCAGAAACTGCTGAACAGTGCTTTACTACCTACATGTCAAAGTCTCCCTCCTACAGCTTGCAGTTCACAGGACACAGATCTCATGCACTGCCATGCACTCCCCCCAAGGCCAATGGTTCTTATAGTAACGGGAGAATTCTGTTCCATCTTGCCTTGGCTGACCTGATTATTTAGGAATCGGCAGTTAAAACCGCTGCAAGACTCATCTTCATCAACAAACACCATTACACTGAGATGAGTATTAGCACCATCACTTTGCAAATTTCTGCCAGTAACATTAAAATAGGAACTACTTATTTGGGGAGGCCAATTACCAGTAGGTATGTCAGATTCCATCCTCTGACTACTTGTGTGTGACCTTGGACAAAGAACTTAACCTTTCTGAGTCTCAGTTTTTCAACCTACAAGTAGATATTATACTACCTACATCCTAAGCGCACTGTACAGACCGAGTGAGGTAACATGCAAAGCATCTAGTCCACAGCTCAATAAATGGTAATTAGTTTCCTTTATCCAGTCATTCCTAGGAAAACCTTCTTGGATGAAACTAGCCACTACAGTCAGCTAATCGTTTCTCCCTTTGAAAGCTCTCAGAACTTTTGGTCTCCCCCGCTAATTGTAGCAAGTGTATAAACTTATAGCTTCCGGTCCTTTCCTCAGCAATCAATCTATTCAACACATCCCTTCTTCCCCTCCACAGAGTTTTTCTTTTCAGAATCATCAAAATTTATATATATACACATATATGTGTGTATATATATACACACTATATACACACACATATATATATATGTAGGTTCTCAACTTTAAAACAGTAAGGAAGACTTCCCCAGTCCTGAGATGAAGTAACACTTCCCTATCCCGGAACATTAAATAAGTTGGCCAGGAAATGAAGGTACTACTCTCTTTGCAACTCTGCCTTGAAATTTCCCTCTGTGTTTTTAAGATTCTCCAGCATCTTGACCATGAGTTGATATCCAACTCATCTGCTTTTGAATCAAGTGCATCTCTTACAATTTCCTGAGTTGACTCACTAGGGCTTATACTTGTAACCTGGGTGCTGTCTGGGTGTTTTGCATCATGTCACACCACCTCACACATCTCCTCTGATCATCCCTCTCTCTGAGCTTGGCCATTCTCGTTGTGGCAGTAGACACATCAGACAGGAAAACTGTAATAAGGCAGACAGCTGGTTTCTAAGTAGGTAGTTGAGACTAGAGGGAGAGAGAAAAGTTGAAATTTGGCTGCCTAGGTTGCAAGGGAAGTTCTCTCCAGTTTGGGTCAGGTTTCATGCTGTTTTGCCACCACAGACTTTGAAAAGTCACAAATGTTTTCAATGTTCAATAAACATCTTTTTATCGTAACTATCCAACAGTCGGTAGGAGGTGGCATTGGTGTTCTCTCTTCCATAGGCTGCTATTTAATCTGCACAGGGAATTATCAGTTATTCGGCTCACTTCAAACATTTACTGAGTAGTATGTATTAGGCACTGTACTAGGTGTCTGTTAGAAAACAAAATTCAATCGAGTACATTTCCAGATCTAAATGGCTTTATTCTAAATTCATGAATCAGGCAGCACCCTACTGAGCAAGGAGAAAGGAGTTCCAAGTAGCTGTACAAAACCCAAAGATTTTATAGGCAGAAAGGGGGTGAGACAAGGTTATCAGGGGAAGAAAAGAAAGGATCATCTCAGGCACGGTTACCTTCCCGTTGGGAAAGGCAGGGGGTCCTATCAGGCAGATTACCTCACTAGTACTGACCCAGAAATTTCACTCCTGGGGAGAGGATGAAGCTGCAACTAAGTACTGTTTTGTAGCCCAGGGGGCAAATGACCCCATCTTGGGCCTGTTGTTATCGCTGTCGTTGTTTTAAACGTCATATACATTTCTCATTTTTACAACACATCTCTACTTTAAAAACGATGCAGCTGGAGAAGCGAGAGGTTAAGAAACTTTCCCAAGGTCACAGAGCCTTTTAAAGTGGCAGGGCAGGAAAGGGAACCCAGCCCTGCCTGACCCTCAAGTTGGCATTCTTTCCTTTAGTGATGTTTAAGCACCTTCAAAACAGCAGTCACATCTTATACTTACTTCTTCATCCTCCCAACGTCAAGCAGAAGCTGAGCCCTTAATTCCTGCCTACCTTCTCACAAGCTCAGAAGCCCCGATTTCAAAGGTCCTTCATTATTCCATTCATACACGATGAGGTCCCGCTCCCAGCATGGCGAGGCTATGGGTCCTGCCCATCTTTCAGTTTTGGTTTGGAAAGGAATTCCTCGGACAAGCCTCTCCGAGACTGAGCGGCTACTTTCCGTCTCCTACTCCGACACCAGGAAGAGCCCCGGCCGCCTTCCTGCTCCCCGTGGGGTGATCGTCCCTCGTCTCCGATCCCCCTGCCCCCGCCACCTTCCACTCTCGGTTGCCGTGGCCAGTGCAGGGAGACAACCACCCCCTCGGGCTCGGGGAGTCGGCACTGCTCGGGGACGGCCACCGCTCGGGGCGCTCCGGGCGTCGGGCGCCCCCGTTCCACGTGGCGGAGCCGAGGGGTTCTGGTCTCGGCGGGAGCCGGACGGCGGGAGGCCGGGTAGGTGCAGCCGGGAGAGGACCGCGGTGCGCGGGCCTCGGGGGCCGCCCCTCGCCGGGGAGCCCCAGACGCTTCCCGCACCGGCAGGTGGGCGGGCTCGGCTCGGCCCCTCCCGCCTCCACCCGCGCCGTCGCCGTCGCCGTCGCCCCGGAGACCGCTCGGCCCGCCGCCCCGTCCCCTCAGCGCCCGCCGGGTCCCCTCAGCGCCCGCCGGGTCCCCTCAGCGCCGGCGCCCGCGCCCGGGCCTACCTTGCTGGTGAGGTCCAGCTCCGGCTCGCCGTTGAGCGCCTCGCCGTCCTCGCTGCAGTCCGAGTCGAAGCCGCCGTGGAGTCGGGCGGCAGCCGCCGCGGCCCTGGCCGCCCCCGGGGAGCTGGGCTCGGGGGCGAACATAGAGGCCGGGACCGGCGACTCCAACGGGGAGCGACTCCGCTCCGCCGCCATCTTTAATAACTTAGGCTAATTCGTAGCCGGCCTCCCCTCCCTCCTCGGCGTATTTGCTTAATCTATGCGCGGGGGGGGGCGCCCCGCCCCTCATCGGATAATTTATGCGAAACTTCTCCAGCCGCGTAGAGGGTGACACGTATCTCTAGCTAAGAAACAATCGACCAGGCCTCCCAGCCACCAATCACTGGAGCCCTTTCAAGTACCTAATGAATAATTAATGAGGCCCAAACCCCAACAACAAATGTCTGAGACGTCACGCGCCTGGTTCGCAGCTCGGGAGGGGCAGCACCGCGTCCACGCTACCTGCCTGGGGCCTTCCAGCCAACGAGACTGGGCAGGGTATGATTGACACAGTAGCCACCCAATGAATGGGGAAGTACACACAACGTTTACCCTCACCTCCCTCTTTTCCATAGGCGGTGCTCAGTTTCCAACTCTTACTGCAAAACAGTCGCCGCGGAGTCCTTTCCGATGATGGACAGGGGCAAGGCCCAATCTAGTCACGGGATAGGTCCCGCGCCTCGGGCCGCGGGCGACCGAGATAGTAAACTGCACAGGGCGCCTCCTTCCTCTCATTGTAGTGACTCCCTCCTGGCTGTCCTTGGTAGAGCGAGGTTTGACAATCTGGCAGCCTCCAGGCAATTTTAGTAGAAGGATCGATGCTTGGAATACTGTAGCAGCCAAAGCGAGGCAATTAATTAAACGCTGACCTTAGGGAGAATCTTCCATTCACTGCCTCTGAGGAGAGAGCAATTACAGGGCCAAAAAGAGGCAACCAGCTAAAACGCAAGCCAAAAGTGTATCACCACATTTGTGAACTGTGAACCTGAGATCTAGGGTCTCTTAGGGTGGTTTCTTAATGGATGATTTTTCCAGCGTATCATCAGTTTGCAAAGTCCCAATCCACAATACCATCAGCACAAGTTTTAGAGTCTTTCCCTAAAAGACCCTAAAAGGGAGGGGTCTTTCCCTTTCAGTCTCAAAAATCTGAAAAGCTTGATAACATAAGGGATTAGCCAAAACTAGCATAATGCTGGCTGTGGCCACCAGTTCCAGGCAGCAATCAAGAAAGAGCAGCCATCGAGATAGTAACATAGCCAAGATTAAGGGTTTGGAACACAGAATTTAGTTAAGAGCCAAGGTTCAAAATGGCCTTCGGTTTCAGGGATCCACCTGAAAGAAAAAAAACAGGCAACCTCTGCTTTCTCTTGTTTCCAACTACCTATTTTTGTTTTTAACACAATCAAGTCTTATGTGCACAAACACAGCTGGGAATGTGGGACGAAAAGTCACTCAACTCCAAAGGTCTTGATAATAGCTCTTCGAATGTGTTTTTTTTTTGTTGGTAAATTGCTCATCACTGTCCTATATATTCCTCTAGGAAGAAGTTAAAAACATTAAAATCTTGATTTGGCAGAAAAGCCAAATATCATGCCTTAGTACTCTAGAATAGTTGGTATTTACCATTTTACCGGCTGGCTCTTCCAGAAAGAGCTCAAGTTCAGAATGTGCTGACACCTATTGGTAGACTAAAAAACATGTCCTTCTCACTATAGGGCTTGCCCAGGAAAAAACTCTCAAGTGTAGGCGCTTCTTGAACAGAGAAATCTAAAATTACATTTTGGGAAGGGAATTCCCCACCCATTTTTACATCCCCTTTCTGAAGACGGGTTAGAGTTCAGGTTCAAATTCTGGGTCCACTACTTACTAGCTGTGTGATCTGAAACAAGTTAACTCTGAGATTCGGTTGTCTCCTCTAAAAAAATAATAAATTAAAAAATATATATATATATACATATATGAAACAGCTATCTCATGGATCTCACGGCATAGTTAGCAGTAAATAAATGAACAGCAGTTTCAAGCCTCCATTAACTAATTTATGAAAATATAACTGCAACACTTGGTGGTTTACAAATTACAATAATTTAAAATAATCCAAAAGTTGTCTGGATTAGGGCAGGACTACCAATCATATGGTAAGCACTCAAGTGTGTGTTAAAGTGGTAACTGTGGTGAGTGTAATGGTGTTAGGACAGTCTTGTTAAAGAAATGCCTGAATTATGTAATCTGTTTTTTTCAATTTTCTGCACAAAAATCCCAAAGAAGGGCAGCTAGTTTAGATAATGCCTTCCACATGACCTAGAGGTAGGTAAAGGGGAAGAAAGCTCTTGCGGAACTGGGCTTTCACCTTCCTGACACACAAAACACCTTGAGAAAATCCAGGGAATAAAGTTGTGTCAGCCACCGCGAGACCAGGTGGAAGCCCGAGGGCAAGAGGACAGCGGTCGGTGTGTAGTGCACTGAAATTCGACGCCGCTGAAACAGGACTCTCCGATCCACCTGAAATGTGACTCCGGGCGAGGCACTTACCCTCTGCGCTCCCAAGGAAGTGCGAGGCGGCCGAGCCCACTACCCAACGCAATTTATGCCCGAATGCATCAGTAAGGTTCTTTGAAATCACCTGGTGAAGTGCGCGCTAGACAAATATAAAACGGTCAACGTAGGAGTAGCTAGTCCGGTTCTCGAAAGCACTCCGCTGGAGGCCCGGCCCACAGAGGGAAAAGGGAGGGGAAGCTGGCGAAGTGCAGCCGCAGGCCCGGTCGCCGCCCCGGAACGGCGCCGCCGCCTGGGGAGGGGTGGGCAACGGCTGGCGTCGAGTCGAGACTCCCTCGGGCCGCGCCGTCCCGCTCTACCAGCCCCGGAAAAATACCGAATCTAGGAGCCGGGAACCAGCTCCAGAGGCCACCGCCACTGCGCTCCACAGCCCCCAGACCCCGGCACCCGGCCGCCTCCCCCCGACACCCATTCAACTGACGGCTGGCAGCAGTGGCCTTAAAGCCGGCGCCGCCTGACGACAGGCTGACGTCATACGTGACGCTGCGGCGGGCGGGAGCGGGGACGGCGCAGGAGGGCGTTTCCGGAGCACGCGCCCGGCGAGGGCCGCTGACGTCGGGCTCAGGTGCGCGCGCTTGCCCGCCCGCCCGAGCGCCGCCCAGGTGGCGGCCCGCAGCGCCAGGTGGCGGCCGGCAGCGGTGAGGGGGCGACCCGCGGCGCGGGTGGGGGCAGCGGCGGAGGGCGTGCCGGCTTGCACTCACGTGACGGGCGGGGAGGTTGGGGTGTGGGCGGCGGGGCGAGCCGGGTGGGCCCGACCCCACCCCTCGCGGGCCTGCCAGTCGCTGCGCAGGACCTTCCCTCGGGCTGGGGCCGGACCCGCCCCGCCACTTACCCCTCCAGCCTGGTCCTTCGCGGCGGTCGCTTCGACCGCAGGAGCTGACCGGGGTTGTCTCCTCCGCAGGGCCGCTGCGAGAGGGTGAGAGTCCGCGCCTCCGAGGGAGCCGCCCCCGCCTCGGCCCGCGCCCTGCGGGGCCCCACCGCACCGGAGGGGATGGAGAGCCGGCCCCGAGGCCCCAGCTCGGCCCGCGATCCCACGCTGGCCGGCCCTCGTTAGCTGCTCGAATTGTGCGTTTTACCCACCACCTTAGGCCTTGTCTCCTGAGTCTGTGGCGTTTGCGGTTTGAAAGAAATGGAAGAAAAGGAGCGATGTGACCAATTCCGTTCAGTCCTCCTGCATTGAGGCCTGGTTGGCATTTGCAGAGAGGAAAATACGGCAAGAAAATTGTGGGTTTTGTTTTGTTTTTTAAAGGGGAGAGTGGGAGAGGGGAAACAAGGTCTTAGATTCTCTATGATTTTTTTTTTTTAATTCTGCACTTTGACAGTGGTGGCGAAATAACACTAATCCAAAAGTGATCTTTTCTTTTGATGGAGGTGGATTTTTGTTTTTCCTTTTGATTCCAACCTTTCTCTCCGTGACAAAGCATAAATCATGGACACCAGAAAATAAGGTGGACCTCAGGAATCCTGAAAAGACTGAGAAGCTTACATTCTTCCTCTGGAGGGAAGGGTGGGGTGTTTTTAGCCCTCTCTGGAACCTAAAACGAAAACATGAGTTGCGTGCCATGGAAAGGAGACAAGGCCAAATCTGAATCTTTGGAGCTGCCCCAGGCAGCACCCCCACAAATCTACCATGAGAAACAGCGCAGGGAGCTTTGTGCCCTGCATGCCCTCAATAACGTCTTCCAGGACAGCAATGCCTTCACCCGGGAAACGCTGCAAGAGATTTTCCAGAGGTAGGGGACCCCTTCTCCTTGGCGTTTTTACACTTCTTGCTATTTCTGAATTTCTGTGGGTGGGGCAATGTCTCAGCTACATAAACCTTCAAACCAACAGGTAATATCAGCTAGATGTTGTTAGCAGGTGTAAGGGACACAGAGGTGGGGAAAATAGTCACTCTCGATCACTTACACAGGCAAGGTACAGTGCTAAATCCCTCAGTTGTGTCATCTTGTGTAATCCCCTCAGGGATCCCATGGAATATGTGCTGTGTCCATTTCATGGACTTAGGGCTCAGAAAAGTGCAGTGATTTGTCTGAGGTAACATGACAAGAGATGGAGCAGAATTTGAATTCAGGTTTGTATCTGTGTTGTTGACCACTATGCTGTATTGACTCTCAAGTCCTGCCCCCAAGAGGTTAGTTACAGTCTGGAATGGGGAGGGGGTCTGTACACACTGTCACCTCTCATCAGAGGTGGAATGCTGTGGGTTTTATAAAGGAAGGTGCTCAGCTATACACAGTGATCAGTTTTTCTATGAGATTCTGTGGTGGCCTTAGTGCTTTTCCTGGGTTGCTTCTTATAGCCCTCCCCAGCAGATATTTTACTGATAGAGCAACAGGCAGAAAAGTCAGGTAGTTTGTCCAAATGGCTTCTAAGTAGCAAAACTATGATTTGAAGCCGACTGTCTAGATCTCTTTCCCTTTCTGCTTCGTTCTCTGTGGCCTTTTTTACCCATTTTGTTAAATGCTGCCTGACAGGTTAATAGAAATTCATCTTTTTCTCTCTCTACTTTGATGTTCTAAAATTCTTTTTTTTTTTTTTTTTTTTTAAGATTTCATTTATTTATTTATTTGACAGAGAGATCACAAGCAGGCAGAGAGGCAGGCAGAGAGAGACGGGGAAGCAGGCTCCCCGCTGAGCCGAGAGCCTGATTTGGGGCTCTATCCCAGGACCCCGGGATCATGACCTGAGCGGAAGGCAGAGGCTTTAATCCACTGAGCCACCCAGGTGCCCCTAAAATTCTTTTATCAAAGGGTTTGAGAATTAGTTCTGCAGTGCCTGCTCTGCTACCTCCTGAGTATTGGAAAGGCACATCAAGCAATAGTATCATCAGTACCCTTTCCCCCTGCTTGTAGGTCCGGCCGGGGTCTAAAGATATGGACTATGATTATAAGCTGTTTGTGGATAATTGCTGTTTGTGGATAGCACTTTCAGTTGTGTTTTCCCTGAATGAAAGAATGCTGAATATTTGCTAAACACTCACGTGGAACCAGGTTCTATTCCTGGCTACTAAAACTAGCAAATTGGTACTACACTCCCCAATTTGCTATCAGCACAAGGTAAAGATCCATCTTTCAAAGTAATAGCAGACCAGTACTTAAGAAAAGGTACTAATTTTCCATTCCAGAGGCGGAATTCTGTATAGAGCATTTTGTATGGAAAGATTTGGTATGGATAAATAGAAACAAAGATGCATGAAAGGGATCAGAGGAGAGAGGAAAGGGAGAAAAGTTGAGGAAGAGAAGATGGAATTTTATACACAAACATTTACTAGCAGCCTGCCGCATGCCAAGCACTGCTAGGCACCGTAGAGAAAGGCTGAACAGGACTCAGCTGCTAAGTACAGCCCAGAGCTCTACATTGACCAGACCTTGAGAATGAACTTGAGTAAAATTAGAACCCCGGAGTTGAGAGCTGTTTGAAAGGGAAAAGATGATCTCTTTGGATCTTAATGGAAAGAATAGTAATGTTGACAGGTTAAACCAGATAATTTAAAATTCCCAGATACAAGGTTTTATGCTCTTTTGAAGATCGGGCTGATAATGGGAGAAGTGGGAGAAAAATGTTGACAAATGCTGTAGAGAGGACGTTCATCCGAGCAGTCGGATTTTAGCCAGATAAAAACAGAGAAATACAAAAGCAGGGTGGAGTTTCAGTACCGTTGTGGATATGAGATGACTCATGTTTGGAACAGAAATGGGTAGGGACTGAGGAAAAACTAAAGCCAGTGGCCCAGCAGCATGGGGATGGGGAAGAGAGGAGTCAAGGTGGCAGAGTCAGTCCAGGATTTGAACATAGTGGTCACAACCACAGTGATGGCAGAAGAGGTCACTGGTTTGAAAAGGATCAGTTTTCAATATGTGAAATTCGAGAAAAGCTCAAACTGGGCGGGCATCATCATGCAGCTATACAGATGGATGTCTTGATCTTGTACATCTCATCCTATATGTGCTTTGAGAAAGGAAGGATGTAGAAGTCAAATGATGTAGTAGCAGCTTTGCCGAGTTGTTTGCAAAATCCTCAGCCTCAAGCCATTTTCACTAGATTCATCTCAGTTGTTTAGTGATTAAACGTTCTTGCAGTTAAGTATGCCTTCTCCCTCCCCACCGCCAAAAATGCTGTTAAAATCTAAATAGATGAAAACAAGATTGGTCCCCCTGGAAAAGTCTAATGCAAGCTAAAGGGACAAGAGATTTTAGATATTAGTGAACAACCAGCATTCTTCTACCACAGAGAAGTCCAGCCTCCCCATTAAAAGGTCCCCGAGCATGTGGAAGGAGCCACATTCAAAGGTGCGGTGGTGGTAAATGGCTAAAAGGTGTAGAATGTTTGCCTCTAGAGATTTAAATCATTTTGTCCAGGGCCGGGCAAACATCATCATCATTGCCAACACGTACAGAGTACATTGATGTGCTGGACCCTGTAATCTGCGCTTTATATATTTAATAATTTAAAGACACATGGTGAAGTTCTGAGACCTACTTGCTGCTCAGCAAGGAGCCTGCTTCCTCCTCTCCTTCTGCCTGCCTCTCTGCCTACTTGTGATCTCTCTGTGTTAAATAAATAAATAAAATCTTTAAAAATAAATAAATAAAACCTATGAAATGGGGGCACCTGGGTTGCTCAGTGGTTTAAGCGTCTGCCTTCAGCTAACGCTGATCCCAGGGTCCTGGGATTGAGTCCTGCATCAGGCTCTTTGCTCAAAAGGGAGCCTGCTTCTCCCTCTACCTGCTGCTCCCCTGCTTGTCCGTTCCCTCTCTGTGACAAATAAATAATCTTTAAAAAATATCTCTAAGCCTAGAAAATAGAAATAATTTACAGCTTCATAGATTTATTTTGGAAATTAAATGAGATACACATAAAAGTATCTTGCATTGGACATGGCATGGAATTTTTCAATAAGTGGTGGTTATTGTTACAGTAAAATGCAATTTGGTTGCAGAGTGAAGTTTAGTGTCCTCTGATCCCCTTCTTTGCTAGCTCTGGAGACAAGCACACAAGCTCTTTTTAAGGGTCTGCTACCAGTGTTTACAAAGAAAGAGATAGGGTAGCAGAGTAAACATGGCAAACATGTCAGTAAACATTCCTCGCTTTTTTTAAAAAAAGATTTTATTTACTTATTTGACACAGAGAGAGAGATCACAAGCAGGCAGAGAGGCAGGCAGATGGAGAGGGGGAAGCAGGCTCTGTGCTGAGCAGAGAGCCCGATGGGAGGCTCAATCCCAGGACCCTGGGATCATGACCTGAGCTGAAGGCAGAGGCTTAACCCACTGAGCTACCCAGGCACCCTCAGTAAACATTTCTTAAGCACCTCCTGTGTGCCAGGCTCTCTTTGGGTCCTGGTGATAGAATCCCAAGAGGATACCCAAGGCCCCTGCTGTCATTCTAGTGTGTGAAACAGATGTATCTGGTAGTAACGAGGGCTGTAAATAAAGCAGGTGGAATAAAATACGGTGCCTGGAAGAAACTGAAGATCAGGTGGTCAAAAAAAGCTTCTGAGGCACTAACATTTGAGACTCAAATAATAAAGGAGCGAACCAAGTGTAGATCTGGCGCGAAGAACATTCCACATGGCTGAAATAGTGTGTGCAAAGGTCTTCAGGTGGGAAGGGTTTTTTGTTTTTGTTTTTTTAAGATTTTATTTATTTTCTTTGGCAGAGAGAGAGAGACAAGAGCTAGAGAATACAAGTGGAGGGAATGGTAGAGGGAGAGGGAGAAACAGGCTCTGCACTGAGCAGGGAGCCCAACGTGGGGCTCGATAGTAGGACCCTGGGATCATGACCTGAGCCAAAGGCAGACACTTTTTTTTTTTCTTTTTCATTTGAGCCACCCAGGGGTGCCAAGAAGGAGTTTTGTTTAAGTTGTAGGGAGCAGGTGTGTGTGTTAAAAGAGGTGGGGATGAGGTCAGCAGTGTTCTGAGGGCCTTGCAGGGAGAGGAAGTAACCTAGACTATTTAAGTGCTTTGGGAGCCATTGGAGGGTTTAAGCAGTGGAAGGAAATGTTTTATGTTTGAAAAATAACAATATGCTTGCTATGTATCGAGAAGTTTAAAAAAAAAGAAACTTTTTGTAAGATTTCTTGAGCGTTTAGAGTGGACCTAGTCATGATTCTTTTCTAGAAATGGCTTTATTTTTTTTTTTTAAGATTGTATTTATTTATTTGATGGACAGATCACAAGTAGGCAGAAAGGCGGGGGCGGGGGGCGGGAGCGGGGAAGCAGGCTCCCCATCGAGCAGAGAGCTCTACTCGGGGCTCGATCCCAGGACCCTGGGATCATGACCAGAGCCAAAGGCAGAGGCTTTAACCCACTGAGCCACCAGGCGCCTCTAGAGATGGCTCTTAACAGCCTCCTGGACTTTTATTCCTGAGAAACTCACCCCATTTCCCTTCTTCCCCTTCACACCAAGGTGGAAGCAATCTACCCCTTCCTTCAAGATGGCCTTTCCTCAGTCCTTGGTGACAAGCCTGTAAAAGCAAAATCACAGGACCAGAAACGCCTTTAGAGCTGCTGCCCTTGCCTTGACTTGAAGGCTAATAAGGCCTGGCGGAAAATGACTTACGGGCGGGTGGGCAAGTTTACTTTTGTTTGGTATATTCTCCCCCCACCCTCAGTTAATTCTTTGTGTTTTAATTGTCTTTAATTTTTTAATCAAGCATTTTATACAGATGTATGTTTGAAATACTTTAGGTGGCTCATACATTCCAGTTTAATATAGGCCTTACAGTTTCCTAC